GAAGAGGGAGGCTCAGTCAATCCCCTATTGCGAGATATGACGCTAGAATCGTGGGCCAAGGTCGTCCTGCAGAGACACGGTGGGCATTTTGCCCAGCACCCCATGTTTGGGTTCCTCATCTTCAACATTCTTGTAAGGTCCCGGAATCGACGAATCGGCCAGGGACGCTTGAAGCGGTCGGCTCTCCGACGCGTTGAGGGAATCCATCGAAGGCTGACACCCGAGCGGTTGAGGGAGGCGCAAAAGGAGATGTCTGAGACGGGAAAGACGACGGACGGACGTCCTTGCAGTTATGAAGGAGCTCTCTCTATACGGTAGCCGACATCGATTATCAAACGAGAGCCGCCTGTCGATGCGGAAGAAGATCTGGTCCATGATCGTGGCGTTCGGCCTCACGGCTATCTGGTTTACGCTCAACCCAAACGACATCAACAACCCGGTCAAGCTGAAGCTTGCGGCGCATAGGGGACGGGATGGCGAGGCCGCCAGAGCCTTTCTCAGCGCACTGTCCACGGCGCTGCAGGTGACGACCCTCTCGGTCCACGATCCTCTGAGCTCGACTCTTTTCTTCTTCCGCGAGATCTCCCTGTTTTTTGAGCACTACGTTCGCGTTGGGCGGCCTTCTATATACGGGAACGTCAGTCACTATTACGCCACGGTAGAGACCAACGACCGCGCGGCCCTTCACCTGCACGGCCTGCTGTGGCTGGACGGGAACCTAGATCTGGCGAATCTCGTCCGCGATATGGCCAACCCCGACGAAGGGGTATACCGGTCCAAAGTGAAGAGCTTCTTGGATGACGTATTCACCGGGACCCTGGACGAGGCCCTGGCGAAGGAGGCAACGGAGAGTGGCAAGAAGACCACCGTGGTAGAGCCCGAGATGATTCACGACGCGGAGTGGCTATCGGGGGGGTTTGAGCGCGAAGCCAACTTCGTCGCGTCTCGCTGCCAAGTCCATCACCATACCGCTACGTGTGTGAAGTACTCGATCAAGGAAGTTCTCAAGTCGGGTACGGAGAAATGCAAAGCGCAGCTATGTCGGTTCCGGGCTCCGTGGAAACTCGTGCCGGAGACTAGCTTTATGGAAGACGGCCTGCTCGAGGTGAAACGGGATCATCAGATGGTCAATCAGTACAACCAGAGCATGGCCGTGGGTCTTCGGCATAATACTGACATATCACCAATCCTTACGCGGAAAAAGGGGCTGGCGCTCGTCCACTACATTTGCAACTACGCCTCGAAGCTCAACGCTCCGATGTGGAAGCGACTCGCTCATGCAGAGGAGCTGCTGGAGTTGGCCTTACAGCAGCAAGGAGAGCCAGACGGCTCGGCTGCGCCGTCGGCGATGGGAGAAGCCACCAGATCGTTCCTCCTACGAGTCGCAAATCGAATCTACACGAGCAGAGAGCTCTCACATCCCGAGGTGCTTGGCTATCTGCTCGGCTTCGAGACCGACTTCACGAACGTCCCTGCCTGGAGCTGGATACATCTGAATTCCTTGTACTGGGCCTGTGCTAGACAGTGGCCTGGTCTGCGAGAAGCATTGGCGAACCTTGGTGAAGAGCCGTACCCAAACAATGTCTACTTCGGAGAAAGCGGCTTCAAGCTCTCTTATTTGGAAGCGTACAAGCACCGCGGGCCGATCCTCGAGCACCTCTGTTTCTATGACTACGTATCCTTTGTGGTCCTGAAAAAGGAGCATTGTCACCGGCGAGACCCGACCTCGGTTCCTTTTCCACCATCGGCAACAGTCTGCCAAGGATGGATTCAATGCCTCCGAACTCCTAACGGGACAGCAGTCCCCGTCTTTCATGGTCGCCTCACAGACGAGTTCGAAGAGCAGGACGAGAAATTTGTAAGAAGGTAAGTAGCAGGATCCTCTTGGCGTAAAAGGAAAGGGTTTACATGTCACATACAGAAACGCAGTTCTGCACCTTGCGCTCTTCGTTCCATGGGAAAGGTTTCAGGCTGAGCCGGCGGACGATATACCAGGACTTTGGCGATCGCTCGAGGGGCAGCTGGGCGCCCGAATCCGCTCACACGTCCAGAACATCGCTCTGCTACGCGTCTCGGCGGACGATGCCCGTGCTGACCGAAAGCTGCAAGGGCTAGAACAGGAAAACGAAGACGTCGTCGACGGGTTTGACTTTGACGACCGGGAGGGGGACGATGACGGCGTCGGACCGGATGTTGGGGGCATCGATCCACAGGACCATTACGAAGCTTTCTTGGATGTCCTTTCAACGGTTCAAGGCAGCGAGATTAGGGATATGACAGCGACTTCGGCCCTGAGGCGCTTGGACGAAGAGGCGAGGGCAGTTGACCCAAGCCAGGACGGCAGCACTGCCGCCCAACGCGGTCGCCACTTCTATACCATGTTGCAGGATCTGCAAAGCTCGCCTTTCCGAGGCATGGGACTTCCCAGCCGCGAGGAGATCGACGCAGTATTGAAGGTCCAGAAGAAAGAGGACAGCAGCGTGACGGCGAAGATCCAGGGCAAGCAAATGAATCCGTCTTCTGCGCATTCCGGCGAGCCCCACGGGAACCCACGGTGGTCCGTTCACGGAGGTGAAGGATCAGCCAACGGGGTCGGTCCGGGGGGACAGATGAGGCTGGAACTCGGCCGTTATGCAACACACGTCGATGTGGCGTTGGGCCTCACAAGGCACTGGACTCTGAACAAGCTCCAGTCGATGGCAGTGTTACTACCAGCGGCATTCCTCGACGAGCGCGGCACGCGACTGCAGGAAGAGGGGGGTCGGCAGCACTTCCAGTACGTCGGCGGTGAAGGCGGCACAGGCAAGTCCCGCGCCATACACGCCATCAAGGACATGTTCCGGCTGAAAAGTGGCCTCCACACGCTGCTCCTAACGGGCGCCAGCGGCAACGCGGCTGCGCTGATCGGCGGAGTGACGCTACACTCGGCGGCAAACATTGCGTTCGAGGGCAGGGCAGCGACAGCAAAGAACGTCTCGGAAGAAGAGAAGCTGCGGTGGAAAAACATGATCATGCTGGTTATCGACGAGATCAGCCAGGTGGGCGGTCTCACGCTCGCGGCGGTGGACAGCCGCCTGAAGCAGTACAGGGATGATCAGCATCGACCGTTTGGCGGGATCCCAATGGTCATGTTCTTTGGTGACTTTTTCCAGTTCGACCCCGTCCTGCAGACCAGCCTCCTCTTGCCAACGCCTAGGGACCGCGGCGGACAGAGACCGGACAGCTCGGCAAAGCACCTAGCAGCGCATAAGCTGTTCCTCCAGTTCACGAACGTCGTCATCCTCCGCGAACAGGTCCGCGCGGCCGGTTGTCCAAGGCTGCGGGGCTTCCTCCGGCGCCTGCGCAGTGGCGAACAGACCGAGCAGGACTTCCACCGGCTGAGCCAACGCCTCTATACACCGTCGTGCAAGTCCTCCTTCGTAGATGGCCTGAGAGCCATCACGCCCCTCAACCAAGACCGGTGGGACCTCAACATGGCCGCCGTTGTTCAATGGGCCCGTGCTCACAGCAAGCACATCTCCATCTTCGTGGCCAAGCATGACACCGAGTCGGGGAAGCGATTGAGCGCGGAAGAGCTGTGCCGCGTGCTTCGCTACGGAGACGACTCGCAGCTTCCAACCCCAGGCCTATTCTTCTACACGCAAGGGATGCCAGTCGTGGTGACGCGGAACCAGTTCGTCGGGCTGAAGGTGGTCAACGGGGCGCCTTTCCGGGCGGTAGACATCTTCCCCGATCTCGCCGCTGGCACCATCGCCCTCGCCAGCGACGTGACTCTCCATCTCGGACCCCCGGTGGCCGTCCTCCTGGAGTCGGATGATAGCGCGGGCCTCGCCATCCCCGGGCTCCCCAACGGCACCATTTTGATCAAGAGCAAGACGGTCGCCATCCCGAGCCAAATGCGGGGCAAGGGAGCCAGATGGAGGGGCAAGCCGGGCTTTCGGTGGGTTACCCACAGAACTGGGCCTCTCTGCACGCCGGCCTTCGCCATGACGGATCAGAAGAGCCAGGGAAAGCAGTTCTCGGACGTCCTCGTCAACCTCAAAGGCGTCCACTCGAGCGGTACGGCGACTCGACCGAGCTTCATGAGCTTGTACGTGCAGCTGTCGAGAGCGCAGAGCTGGGACGGGCTGCATCTGTTTCGGAAACCGGCGCGCAGTGACTTCATCGAGCCGAAGAACGTGCTCGACAAAGACATGAGGGACGCCATCCTCAAGCTGGAACGACGGGGCGAGGAGACCAGACGGCGCTTCGAAACAGACCATAGGCACGAGTCGTGGTTTCCGGAATGGGAGGCCATGCCTGGATCTAGGCAGGGTACTGAAACCGATGACGTAGAGGACGCGGCGCTCTGGCGAGACCCTGGGATTTCCGAGCTCGGATCGTAGCACGCCTCTCTGCCGTAGCTCTGTTCTGGTAGCGACTTTCTAGCGGAATAAGCTACTTCCAATTGATATTTTTATTTTCCTTCTCACCTTGTTGGCCTGCAATCTGCATCCTTTCGTGGTTGTCGGTGAAGCTACCGAGGGGTGCGCCATCTCATTGGTCCTTATAAACCGGGGCCAGCCCCACAGTTGAATTTCAGGGAGACCGGCCTAACAGACCGTCCGTGCACCACCACTGCCAAGCCCAACTTCGAGACGCTCATCGTCAGAGACAACTTCCTCCACGCAAAACAAGATGGCTCCTTCCACAATCATTAGGATAATGGCAGTAAAAACTTCACAGTATACGGGGGAAAACGGCACGGATTTTTTTATGGGGTTTTTTATGGGGATTTGGTCCGTGCTTGAGCAAGCCATCTTTATGGTCATGGTTTTTCTCGGAAAAGGAACCTTTCGGAACATAAATGTTCCTCCAGGCATAAATGTTCCTCCAGGCAAAGTAAATCGGTTAGCTCTAGGGTACCACCGGGACGAGCTCCCTCGAAGCTTTGAATTCCCTCGGTGCTACCCTCACTTTTATTTCTCATCAACCGATCTTTCCAATCCCGCGGTGTACAAATGGATCGCCACGCACTTGGTCAAGTGAGTGTTTAATTGGGTAGACTTTAAGGACTTTGCTGACACAGTCAACTTCTCATTCTCAGGTTGTTCTGCGTTTACAAGCTCAATACATTCGCTCCGCTATTGCAACGGAAATTGAGACGTTTGAGAACTCCTTCGATGACATCTTGCAAACGGCCAGCCTATTTTTGGTAACCACCGAAAGGGTCGCACAATCTCCTTCGCTGGTGATCGTCGATCAGCCTGCTGTGGTCAAGACCGTTTGTCACTTTCTCGCGGCGTCAAACGCCATACTCGAGTTTCTCAATTTTCAACAGAGAAGGACTCGACTTGCTTCGGGAGGGGACGAATCTCTGGAAAAACAAGTTAAGGAATCCCAAGCGCTAGTGAAGGAGCTTCTCGCCACTCTTCTGCTTTACAAGACAGCCGAAACCTACCCGGGCAGGGACTGTGGCCTCATCTACAACGAGGACGTCAAGGTTTATGGCGACTTTCTTCTCCACAAGTACGGCCATGTTGAGCAGAGCGACGTCCCCGACCCAGCGGACGATAATGAGGAGACGGAGAGGTTGATTCAGTACTGGCACACAGAGAGCTTGGTTCATCCGTTGAGGCATGTTCCAGGCAACCCATGGCACAAGTTCTTTGGAAACCTCCAGCCAGGCCCGATAGTGAGACCAGAGTTGTTCAGGGAGCGCAAGCCGCAACCGTACTTCAGGCTCATGTTTCCGACTACCATTACCTGGGTACAACCCGAGATCCGCCGCGATTATGATAATTATCGCGAAATGTTTGAGAGAGTGAGTTACTAATAATGGAAGAAAGCTATTCAGTATACTGACATCATCCAACAGTTTCTCCGATTCCCTGGACCACGTCTCCCGGAGGCCATCAGAGCCGTGGGTACATTCTATCTTAGCGGAAAGGCAAGTACTGACACGAAAACAGGCCAGGACTAGAAGAGTCCAGTGCCGCTTGTCCCATTATTTCAGGGGCTGGAAGAGAACCGAGGAGGCAGCGATCTTGTGTCTGGAGGATATGAGTGAGGTACGTCACATCTTTGGGCATCCACGGGCTTGAGTGTGAAGCTGATTGTGATCAACCAGATTCCTTGCCCGGAATATGACCTCTTGGGTCTCTCAAGACTCGAGGCGTTGAATGCTGAGATCAATGCCCCAGACTTGGCAGGGATTGCTTTGTTGGGAGAGGATATCCCCGATGTCCCCATTTTCCTAGAAGCGGAGGGCCGCAAATACTGTCTCGAGTTCGACGGCGAGCGGGATTGGTAGGCTTTAGAGCCTCTGCGTTTCGTTTGAGATCGAGTACAGAAAAACCCTTCGGGGTTTTGGGGCAGTTATGACGGAGTTATGACGGTCCATTTAACTCCGCAGCGACTTTCGGGTGCTGCAGGATGAAATTCAGTTTCGGAAATCGGTCCAGTGCAAACTGATTTCCAGCCCGCAGCGCCTCTCTCCATCTGTCGCTCTTATAATGACAATCTGTTGGGAATTATGTCATCCGTCGAACCGGACCAAAGCGCAAGATCCCTGCAGGGCTGATACAACCTTAACCCCCTTTGACGAAACCTACCTGAGCTCCGGCGTGAGAAACTCCCAGGCTTTGCTGTGTAATACAGTGTGGTAGAACCTATTGGCTCCCGTGAAAAATCCGACATGGGCCCAAGAGAACCACACGACGCCATTTGGTCTCAAGTAAACCACTTCCAATCTTTCCGTGAACGAGGGACACGGTGGGGCCCCGCCGCCTCGCAGTCCCACTTCGCCAAGTTTGAGCGTTTCACGCCCAACGATGCGGCATCTTTTGACGACTCGTTCGCCTGCGTCGCCTCATCCCAGCGGTGGGTTCCCGGTTCCTCGGAATACACCCGACAGCGCACCATCGCGATAAGGGAGAAACTGGAACTCCACTACTTCTCGCTGCCGCAACAACTAGACGACGTCAACGAAGAAGAGCTCGGCGGAGAAGAGAAAACGCTCCAGGTTACCAAGCCCTATGTCACGAGGTCGGCATCGAACCGAGCGATTCGGCCACCGAGTGCAAGAAAACTTGAAGAATACGCTCGTCAACATTGTCGACCTCATAGATGCGCGGCGGACGGGCAAACGTGCCGAAGCGTGGGGCACTTTTGAGGAGTTCCGCACCTATACGCTCCGAGACAAAACGAGGATTGATCTCCACAAGACGAAGAGGTTCTCAGGGTACCTTGCTTCGTTGTTACAGCGTCTGTCAGCCCTCTACGCAAAAAAACGCAATGGCTCTAGGGGATCAAGGGTGGCGTCGGGCCGCATCACCAAATATCGGGCTTAAATGTAAAATTTATATCTGCTAGATTGCGGACTATATCATTAGCATTACGTTCAACACCAAACGCTGCTCTATCCGAATCCTAGGTACGGTTGCCGTAATATCCTGTTGTAATATACTTTCTATTTGCTGGAACAGAGCCTGTCGCTTGGTTAGGTAGTTACATAATTGTCCGCAAGGCCGCCCATCCCAAGTTACCATGCTTGCACTGCAATGCTCAGTGGCAAGACGAGTACTAGGAAGAAAAGCACCATCGGAGCCAAGGCGTTGGTCACATATGAAGGAAGTGCAAGCAACGATCAAACACGCAATGCCAACAGGAAGACTGGGATAGAACGTGGAGGAGATAATGGAGCAATCGCGGTGGAAGGACTCGACTAACAACACCACGCAGCCTCAACCAGCAGGTCCCGCTTTAGCTGCTGAAGTTAGGACGCTGAACACTTGGAGAACGCCTCCAAGCTGATCTGCTAAGACTCATAGCAAGGCCCCACATGCGGGGTCCTACACTTCCAGACTGCCTTTGTTCTGCCGCCTACAGATATCATTGTCACCCTTCTCGCGCTAGATCAGCGTGCTGAAGATATACCCGCCACACCAATTTTAATACCGAGGGAGAAATGGACAAAGGGACTGACTTAAAGCCTATATCGTCTTGGGTAAGCGAACCGGCTTGATCTTTAGCCTCCAACCAAACGTTGGTGCTTTTTCTCCTTGCATTCCTCTGGGACTAAAGTTTCGCTAAGCTTCAACCATTCAAAAACAATCGACTTTTCGACCCTCAACACCACAACACACTGCACCATTGACCAGCAATGGCGGACATCAACCAGATCATCCAAACCTTCAAAGGCCTTACTGAAGGAGATCGCGAGACGACCATGAAAGCACTCTCAACTATGATGCGCACCGAAAACCAGCGGCAACCCGCCAAGAAGAAGGTCAACGGGTTTATGGGTTATCGTGGTAAGTCCGGTAAATTACGATTTCGTGGCTCATTCTAACGTTCCTTAGCATACTACTCGTGGCTCTTCTCCCAGCTCACGCAGAAAGAGAAGTCGCCTATCATGACGATACTTTGGAAAGAGGACCCGTTCCACAAGGAGTGGGATTTTATGTGTGCCGTGTATTCGGCGATCCGAGAGTTTCTGTCGGGCGAGAACGTTACGCTGCAGAACTGGATTCAGTTTGCCATCAAGCACATGGGGATTGTTGTCCGCGAGAGCTACCTGGTGGCCCTAGGTTGGAAACTAATCCAGCACGACGACGGCACACACAAGCTCGAGCGCACTGCAGTTCGAGGGATCCAGAGCTGTCACCAGCCGATGAACGGACTTGGCCTGTTTATAAACTGCCTTAACGGCGGCCTGCCAGTTACCAACCGGCTTCCGATCATTGCAAAACTCACCGCTTTGAGCAACGATGTTATCTGCGTCAACACACAGACGGGGCCAGTGGTGAATCCCCACAACACCATGGAGGGATTCTACCAGTTTGCGAAGTATAACCCACATATGGCCATGTCGGCGCTGTTTCAGGTCACCACGACCCACCCTCTCATCACCCAGGGTGTCACTGTTCACCAGCTTCCTGACCTTGCGGCAACCGACCCGTTCTTCGCGGTTCAGAACGAGGATCCTGAGCTCGATGCGATGTTGGATAAGATCCCCCAGGGCGAATGCAATGGGAGCCTCGGCAACCAGACCAATCCTGGCAACCAGTTCTACACGATTGACATGGGGAATGGTGCGCATATTGCTGATCCATGAACAACAACTAGGGGGCGGGTCGTGTGGACAACGCCACAAACCATGAGAAAGCCTTTGACAAGGAGGGCACACCATATCATTGGCTAATACTACAGTAGCTTACGAACCCTGTAATTTCAGTCTGCATGGCTTGCTAGCTTGCGGAATGTCTCTGGGCTCGCCGTTTGTCTGTCGCCACCATTTCCGAGATCAGGTCTTCCCATTGTCACAGCGCTTGCTCGCGGAGAGGGGAGAGCACAAGGAGGACAAGAAGGACAAAGACGAAGGGGTGGAGGCGAAAGACGGACCTCTCAATGCTCTGATCGGCCCGACGCTCGCCTTTCGTTCCGCTCTCCGCATTTGCCCGCACCCTCTATCCATAGACTTATCTAGATCCCCCGTCCACAAGCACGTAATAAAGCCCAGTCCGCCCAGCCCCCAATCCGCACATATCGTGCTACAAGGGAGGGTCACGAATCTAGCGATGGCGGTGTCTAGGATGCCCTTTTTCAGGAAGCCCGGGTGACAGGGTCCCCACCCCACGAGCGCTAAAACCATACGCCACTGATCCGCTGCGTGGAGCTAATCTTTGATCAGCCGCAGGACGATGGGCATCTGTTGATGGATCCTCGCGAACGGTCTCGGGAAGAAAAAGGCAAACCCGGTCCCGGGCCTGGGATCCGAGACCTCTGCTAGGTGACCATACAATCGCCATGCGAGGCCTCTGGTCAATGACGATGTGGGATCCCACACTTCAAACCGCCTTTGTTCTACCGCCCACCATTTTCGTCCGGACCGGAGGGCTAACCTCTAGCCCACATCTTTCAGTTCAACAGCAACCATCATGACTACATTTAGTGTGCTTCTCCTGTGTGTGTGTGCACTGGGGTGGTTGAAAAGCAACGAGAACTTCTCGGCTTCGGCGAAGTAGATTTCCTCAGGCACCGTGAGCTTGAACAAATGAACCGAGGAATGTCCGTTAGGAAGCGTGTGGTAGACCTGCTCGACGTGGCAGCCTTTAACCTCGATGTTCGGCGGCTCCTTACTCCTCAAGCGGGCAATCACAGCGCGGAGGGGAAGGTGTGTCCCACCTCGGGGTGCTACCGACAAGGGGCAAGAGACACAAATCCGATTTCAAGTTCAGGAAGACTTGGCGCGGGACGTTGGCCTTCACTGCGTGAATCTTGCCATCGATGAGCACGTAGGCGAGGACAATGCCGGGGCTGTCGGTAGCCCGGAGCTGTAGTACCTGCCAGGTATTCCTGAAGGTTATTTCGGCCTGGTTGCGGAACGTTTGCTGGATATTGCTCTGGAGGTTGCTGCGCCTGTCACCGAAGGGTGTCTCCGGCGCGCTCTTGCTTGCTTTTGCAGCTTCCACTTGAGCTTTGGGATTCCAAGAACGCTGGATAGTCTTCGCTGGGAGAAGGCATCTTCTTCGGCAGACTGGCAAAGGGATGTTGGCCCCCTGCAGGTCCAGGCGACTCGCGTTTCTGAGACCGTGGTGGCTGTTTTTTGGTGATGCGGAGATGGCGGAGCTGACGGTCTTGGGCTTAAAAAACGAGCCGATGTCTTCACGTCACCAAGTAAGTTAGGCGTAATCTCCTCAAGGGGACCACCTTTTGTTGTTGGCCCAAAAAGGTCCGTGAGCTTCTTCTGCTTCATCTTGTCGTTCTTGATGCTAATCTGGCGTTGTAGCCAGTCTGGGTGCGGCACGCGCGGCACCGGGTTGCGCACCTTTTGCAGAGCAGCAGGAATGGTGATGAGCTTCTGGATGACTGAGCCCAACGTTCAGTGTAGTAGTCCCAGTCGAGCAGCGCCCTTGGGTCCGTGTCCACGGTTTCCTCATTGAGCCACTTCTTCAGATACAGCCGCTTCGTATCCTCCTCGGCGGAGAAGATGGCAACGGGACGGCACGCTCAGCGACTGGGGCGCTCTTAGGTCTCGCGCAAATGATGAACTTGCAGTTCAACCCCTTGTCCTTGACCATGCCCTCACCCAGGAAGTCCGCCAGACGTTTGGCGGTTGTGATGGACGTTGACTTTTGACTACCGTATTCCTCCAAGGTCTCGGTCATGCTGCGGTTCTCAGAAATGAGCTCCATGAGCTTGGAATGTGGCCGGCAACATGCACCAGATACCGTCCGTGTCAAGCTCGAGGGGACGACCCAGACGCTCAACTAGCGATCTGGCAAGCTGAATGATGGTGGCTACTGCCAAGCAGGTCACGCCCGCCATGTCCATAGAGTACCAACGCGAACCTTTCCGCATGACGTAGCCAAGAAGCAGTTGAGAATGACCTTGTGTGCCAGTTGCAGGGAGTCGAACCAAATGATCATCTTCTTGGCACCGTCAACCTCGGTGGACGATGCACCTGAGTTCTATAGTGCCCCTGTTTTGCCTTTCTACACCTTCGCTTTGCCCTTGTAGTTGTATCGCCGGTCGCGGAAATCACGGACGGTGTTGATGTAAAGGGGGTTTTCTCGCTGGCAGATGATCGCTTCTCGTACGATGGTGGTCGAGTCACGGATCTTGTGGTAGATCTTTTGTGAGTACAGCTGCATCCTCTTTTTGGTGAGCGTGGTTTGCTCATCCAAACTGAGGTCCTGCCATGAGTGTAATGGGCTGTTGGCAAATTTGCCCGGAAATTTCTCGTTTTCCAAGGCTGTTATACTCGTCCCGCTTCGCTGGCAAATACTCGCCTCTCTATGCCCAATCTCTGGGATCGGGGTACCTCTCGAGTATAATACGGCTGTATTCCACCTGTTTTTTCTTTGACTGGCTGAAACGGTACTGCTTCTCGCAAGTAATGTACCGCCGGAAGTTCAATTCGCGAAGCGCGCGGCGAACGATTCGACCAGAGACTTCAATGTTGAGGCTAGTGTGTCACAGAAATGGTCGCGTGCAGACGACCCGGCGGGGCACGCTGGCAGTGCCCCGAGCCAATCAGCAGGAAGGGGCCTCCCCCAATGAGAATGGGATCGTGAACGAAAGTTCGCGATCTGGGAATGACCTAGGAACGGATCATTGGATCGAGGAGCGATCTAATGAGCCCAGGACGGATCGAGGGATCATGAGAATATTTTTCGATCCAGGTACGGAGATACTTGATATTTAGATAGTATATAGTCACTCGTTCTGGAGAGCTCTGGGAGTTATCCAGTTAGCAATCACAACTACAGTTCGCTACAAGGTCGAGAGCCTACTGTTGAGATGGCCATCGAAACCCCCTTGATCAATGTAGCGTTCAATTTGTGTGAGGGCTTCGTGATCCAGTTTCCGTTTCCGTCTACGCGTTTTAAGATAGTTTGAATGAAACGTTCGAGGCTCAAGTATTGAATGGCCGAATTCGCGGATTATTTGGTGGCCTTGCGTGTGGCTGACTTTGTGATACTGGAAAACGTGTTCCTTAGTGATAAGTCGACTGGTTCCTAGTAAACCGTTGTGACGAAGAAAATCGACAGTGCCAGCAACCCTGGACTTCTTTGGTGTTGAATGGTGCACAATGCCTATATTGATAATTGTTTTAGAGTAGAAATTGGGAAGGAAAATACTGTTGTGGAAGGACAGGAGCTTAAAAGTGTACAGATGACGTCGTTGGCTTCTGGATAAAATACCTGGTTTGGTGTACTAATTTCTTTTTGGCCAGAGGGTGGGTGGAATCCAATGACGTTTGGTCGCGCGGGGGAGCAGTGTGATACACAGTAGTGCTGTACTGTGTTGCACTGTATTGACTGGGACCTAACCACAACAACTTACCCCCCGCCTCCCTCAGAATGGTGCACAACCCAACCACAACAACTTACCCCCCGCCTCCCCAACTGCTTCGCAATGTTTCCGACCGACCCCGATATACCTGCGAATCCCGCATTACAAAAGCTCCCCCCAGTGGCAACTAATCCCAGCGCCAAAGCACCCTCGGACCGTATCCAAACCAATCTGACAACCCGGGAGCGCACCCCGGTGGCTCAGTCGGCAAGCCAGGACGACAATCCAATACGGCCGCCCCCGACGCCCGGTCGAAACGAACAAGACACCCATACCCTAGAGGCCGTGTTGCCGCGTTCTGAAACAGAGCCCACCACGTCTGCCGACGATGGCGCGCTCCGGCGAGCCAGGCCGACCAAGCTCAGCGGCATCCGTGACTCTGTGAGATGGCTGGACGACAAGATCGACCTACGTACCACTGACACCGACTCCACAATTCGCGCTCTCAATCAGACAACTCTGTCAACACTGTCTACTATCGATGAGCTGAAATATACGTTGTCGACAGGCCTGCAAAAGTTGTCCCAAGACATCGCCAGTGTTAACAACCGCATCTCCGCGATCGACATGAGAAGCGCGGAACACCATGCGCAGCTCCAAACACGTGTCGGCGACGGTACGAGGCAAATCCAAGAACATCTGATGCGAAACAACATAAATAGAATCAGCCAGATTGATGCCGTTCGCCAATGCATTAAGAATATCGGCCACGACTTACACAACGATCGCGGTCACCGTCATCTGGATTCTAAACAGGAACAACAAGACGAGGTGACAACCCGCCTACGCAATGTTCGCGGTAATCTCCATGCCCAAAACACCTCCTCAATTCCGGAAGAAGGTGTGCGAATTGGCTCTAGGAATGGTTTCAACCAGCGCGCTCCGCCCCCCGAAGACCGCGCGGGCGGTGCAAGTGGCGGCCCTGACCCATCAGACGATGACGACGACGATGGCGATCGACCTTGCCACCGTAACTCACCCGGTACCTACGAGATCAAGCCTGGCGACATCGGCCGGTTTGATCCAACCTTCGAAGATGCCCATGGTGTTGGCGTCGTCAATGACGGTAGCAATACCATCTTCACCGACGTCTACTGTTTTATTGAGCGTATCAACACCTTCCTGGAAGACCCGGAGACCAGCGTCTCGGCTGAGCGACAGATCACGTCACACTTTCAATCACTACTGAGTGGCCCAGCGATCCTTTGGTGGACCAACGAGGTTGCGGCATCGCACCGCATGGAGTTGCGCCGCATGGGATTGCGTACTATGTTGAATTTTCTCAAGTTACGGTTCAACCCGGATTCCATGACGGCCACTCGCCGGTTTAACGGGACCTTCCTGGCGTCGAAGGATGTCGACGAAGATGACCAGGCAATGTCGAAATTTGTGCAGAAGAAGCTTCGCTGGGCCCGCTCGATGGGCATCATCGACGGCAGCATAGAGCCCAAGATGCGTCAGTATCTACCGCCTCTCAAGCGATTTCCTACTCTAAGCGAGGATATGCAAGGAATCGAGAAGTCTCGATCGATCTTGCTCGCCGCTACTCACCACCAACATCAAGGGCTGCGTAAGAAGCCTTACGAAGATAAGCGGTCTTACACGGTTGACAAGACATCTCATAAGTTCCCAAGTTCTTTCTCTAGCAACAGGTCCCACGATCGTTACTATGACCGGCATAGCGACTGGCATCGCGACCGCACTGACAAGTACGATAGCCATGACCGTAAGCAGTATAGAAAACATAGCGACTGTCAAGAGGGTAACCGACGCAGGGATGACGGCGACCGAGACCGTGACCGGGATCGCAAGCTTGATGATCGAGATCGGCATCGCGATCGTGACCGTTATAAGCTCCGCGAGGACGCTAACAATGTCGATTTTCGTTGCCCGATACACCCGGCGATTGCTTCGGCCGAAGAAGCCACCCCTGAAGACGACTCGGCGGTTCAAGCGAACAGCGTAGCGGTTAGCATTGCCACCATAGCCAGCGACATCCCTACGTCTGGGTACAAAGTCAAGGACGCACCTGCAGGACGTACGACTCAACCCGATGGCAGCGCTCTCGGCGGCTACACCCACCTGCGCATCGCAGCTCGCATCCAACCTGAGGGACCGAATATAGAAATCTGTTTGGATCCGGTCGCTAGTCACTCTCTCATCGGTCGGTCTTTTCTCGAGCAGCTCAACTACCGTATTGAACACCGCAAGGGCAAGATGAAAGGAGTCGGTGAGGGAAAGCGCAACTTAAGCTACTGGGCGACATTCGACATTTATCTTCCCGGAGTCGAGAACGGTGGACCCACTTTAAATAAGTTCACACATTCGGCATGGGTCGCTGAATCGTTGGGACCCAATCTCCTGTTGGGCAACGGATTTCTGGACGCCTACGGCGCGAAGATCGACTACGAGACTAAGTTGGCTCACTTACAGTTGTTTGACTTCGTCCTCCCTTTCTCTATTTACGCGCATTTAACGCCCTGAACGAAATCCTGTTGCCGGACTAGAAAGCAATGGTCCCAGTTCTAAACGTTGCGCTGTTGTAACCAACACTTTGGGAGGATTAGTATAGAGGAGAGTAGTATAAAGAGAAAACGATGACAAAACCACGTTAATACACAGCAAAAACCTATCCGGGTGTCACAGGACCAGGGTATGTCTGAGAAGATGACTGCGTTGCTCTATGAAGAAGGGAAGAAAACTATGGGGATGCAGAACCTGAAGATGGGTACATCGGCCAGGCACGTGACTAGGCACGTGACCCGGGGACCAACGGTCCAGTGCCGTGACAGTACGCGGTCGCAGCCTTTCAGGCATTCCTCGGGCTCCCATGTTGGTTCATCATGGTATTTCCACTTGATCTGGTAGGTCAGACCATGCTCCTGGATATCTTCATCGTGAACGTCTAGGATGCGCTCGAACTGCCATCTGTCCTCGATGTTGCCGTCGTCATCTCGTTGAGCGATACGGCCAGTGATGTTGCGGCGCTCCGCGGCGTTGAGCTCGGCTTGGCCAGGGATCTCTTCAGGTTGCCAGAGGCGGACTTTTGAGGTGTGGAAGCTCTTGTTAACGCGGATGTGGTCGGGCAGGTCAATGACAACGGCGCCCTTGTAGACGGCCAGCACAGGGAACGGTCCGTCCCAGTTGTCATCCCACTTCCTTTTAGGCCTGTTGGTCTTCATATTCTCCAAGCTCACCATGACCATGTCGTTGACCGTAAACGTCCCGCCCTCGTCTCGTTTCCTGTTGGCATTATCCTCGTATCGTTGCTGCGAAATCTTGGCCAGAGCTTTAAGTTGAGTAAGGATGCGTTCGAACCGTCCAGCGATGGCATCCGCACGGAGAAATTCCTTCTTGGCGTGGGCTGGAAGTGCAGATGGCACGGGCCCCAGGGGTTCAATGCCGAGGCGCGGGTTGAATCCATAATTCGCGAAAAAAGGTGAGATTCCTGTAGTCTCGTTGACTTGGTTGTTGGCAGCGAATTCGGCAAGGGGGAGCCAGTCCACCCAGTCGTCTTGAGTAAAGCTGACATAACCGCGGAGGTACTTGTTCATAGCGGCGTTGATGATCTCCGTCTGGCCGTCCGTCTCGGGGTGGAAGGCTGAGCTTGGGCGAAGGGTGGTATTGAGGCGGTGGCTGAATCGGCGCCAGAATTCGGAGACAAAGGATGAACCGCGGTCAGAAATGATAGTCTCTGGGGCGCCATGCAGGCGGTAGACATGATGCAGGAAGACTTCAGCCAGCTCGTCTGTGTCGAGCGAAGTGACCGCAACCAAGTGCCGCATCTTTGTGAGCCTATCGACTACAGCGAAAATGTGTCGGTAAGTCCTGCCGTTGCGCTTGCATTCGGGCAAGTCGACCACGTGGTCTATGGAAATATCCGTCCATGGCCGGGCTGGGAGTTCTAAGGGCTTGAGGAAGCCGGGGGGCGCAGAACGGGGCGTTTTCGTTCGGAAACAGAGAGCGCAGTCGCGTACGAACGTGGCAGTAAACTGTGAGATCCCAGGCCACCAGTAGGTGCGATTCAGCAAATCCAAGGTCTTGACTCGGCCTGGGTGACCGGCTGGGCCGCTGCTGTGGGTGCGATGTACCACTTCAAGTCGCAGCTCGGGCGCGTCAGGGATGAACAGCCGATTTCGAAAATAGATTAGGCCGTCCACAATCGAGCATTCGGACTTGTCGCAGCGGAGGAGTTTTCGGATTGCCTTGGGCCAGCGGCGTGTGGTGCGATCTTTGTTGCGCTCGCCTCGCTCTCGCAGCGCGGCGAGCATCTGTTGCGCCAGTGAGTCTTCGGTGTAGCCCTGGCGGATCAGCTCGTCAATTGACTTCTGTTCCGGTTCGGGGTCCATGGTGGCGATGAACTCCAAGTCGCCTTCCTGGCGGGATGCGCCGAGTAGCTCTTCCAGGATGGATGGGTTGACCTTCCCGGGCGGGAGCATCACTTGTTCGCGGTGTTTCAAGCGCTCGTCGTCGGCGCCGGCGGGTTTCACGCCTGGGAGTCTGCTAAGCGCATCGGGGATCGTGGCCTTGGATCCAGGGCGGTAGGTGATGACGAAATTGAATTGAGACAAGAACTCGGCCCAACGGACTTGCCGCTGGTTCAACTGCTTGGTCGTCATAAAGGTCTGGAGGTTCTTGTGGTCCGTGACGATTTCGAAGGCTCCTCGGTTCCCTGCAGCTCTGGGCGCCACTCTTCAAGCGCCTTGACGATAGCCAAAAGTTCTTTGTCATAAATCTCGTAGTTGCATTCCGGGGCTGTGTGCTTGGACGAGAAAAAGGCGACGGGGCGGAGCTTGCCATCATCGTCTTTCTGATAAAGGACTCCGCCGGACGCCCAGTTTGAGGCGTCCGTCTCGACCACTGTCTTCTTAGTGTAGTCGTAGTAGGCGAGGACTGGTGCTGTGGAAAATGCTGTCTTGAGCTTCGCAAACGCTGCTGCTTGGTCTGGGCCCCAGGCCCAGGCGGCGCTTTTCTTCAAAAGGCGAGTCATCGGCTCTATTACCGAAGAGTATCCCTCAATGAAGCGTCGGTAAAAGTTTGCGAAGCCTAGAAATTGTTGGAGCTCCTTCACTGAGGTTGGGTCCCTCCAGACTTGGATTGCTTCAACTTTGTCAGGGTCCATCGTCATCCCGTTTGTCGAAATGATTAGGCCAAGGTATTTGGTCTTTGTCGTGTAGAATTCCGACTTGTTGATGTCGATCTGCAGGCCTGCAGTGCCTAGGCGTCGGATAACTTCATCGACATGGCGGGTGTGCTCGGCTCGAGTCTTGGAGAAAACGAGAACATCGTCCAGGTAAGCTGTGCAGTAGATGTCCAGGGCGTCGTGGAGCACGTGGTTGATGTAGTTCTGGAACGTAGCTGGTGCATTACAGAGGCCGAATGGTGTGACGAGCATTTCGAAAAGGCCGAAACGGGTGATGAAAGCTGTGAGCCATTCATGGCCCTCGGCTACACGGATGCGGTTGAAGGCAGCAATAACGTCGAGTTTCGTGTAGAACTTGGCACCACAGAGTGCGTCTAGGGTCTCGCGGATCAGTGGTAATGGGTACCTGTTCTTGATTGTCACCTCATTGAGGCCTCGGTAGTCGTGGCAAATGCGTACGCCGCCGCCGGGTTTGGCGGCCAGGAGGAGCGGGGCCGCTGCTGGGGAGGTTGACTCGCGAATAAAGCCCTTGTCAAGCATCTCATCAATCCATTTCTTGACGCAACGGAGCTCGGCTGGCGAAAATGGCCGGTTCTTGAAGTACGGGGCTTGCTTGCCAGGCATGATCTCAATCTTATGGTCCCAGGGTCGGTGGGGCGGGAGCGATTCGGAGTTCTTCGTAAGAAAGTGTTCGACATGGTGGCGGAACTCTGACGGGAGCTGTTTCAAAACATCTTCTCGTGTGATTGGTGCCTTGCTCTTTAGAAACTTTTGGACATCCTCGTCGACAATCTTGCGGCGGAGGAGTTCAGAGCTAGAGCCTAGGTTCTGTTCCAGAAAATCGTGAAAATATTCGGGCATCACTTTCCTCGCCTCATCTAGTGTGTAGTCTCCCTCGACGAGACGGCGATAGGCTGTCTCGGAAAGTCGTGGCAGCTCGATTGCGTCCATGGGGAGCTCGGAGAAGGCTTGCCGGTTCTCTTCCTGATCAAACACTCCGTTCAGTTCAGTCATATGAATCCTCATGACCTGGACGCCTTTCTGTCTACAGAACTGAGCGAAATTCAAGCCGCGGACGCAGCGGATGTCGTCAGTATTGGGGCGCTCCACTGGCTGCGTGTCTGGCTGGCTGACGCGACTCGGCCGGCTAGAGCGAGCGGGTGAGAGTCGGTGGCCGTGCACGAGGCGCGCAGGTAGGGGGTGTGAGGTTGGACGAGCTGATGGGAATGTTTCCATTGCTCTGCTCTCGGGGCCTGCTGATGGGGTAGCCGTCTTCAGGGCGCCCGGTCTGGCGAACGGCATCAAACGGTGGGTCGGGTGTCGCACAGGTCCTTCACGTATCTCGGAAGGCTGCGGCGGGGGCGGCTGGGGCGGCGGGGCCGGTGTTGGCTTGGGTGGTGTATCTGTATACACTGGGTTCGGTATGATTTCTGTGTCCGCGGCCCAGTGGACTCGGCGGCGAGGTTTGGTGGCTAGTGACTCCGGAAAATCGGTTTGGAGGAGTGTGTGCTCGTCGTCTTCGGCGTCTTCGACTGTGGGCTGGTGATATTTGACTGTTGGGATCGTGGATCGGCCGATGGGGGCGGAGCGTTCCTCGGGGGGTGTGGTCCAGTTGATGCAGTGGTGCGAGCAATATTCCGATGTGAAGATCACGCCGAGGTTCACGAAGTCTAAGGTCGGGTTATGTTTTTGGAGCCATGGTAGGCCCAGAATGATGGGGGTTCGTGGGGACAGTGTCGTGACGTAAAACAGCGCGACCTCGCTGTGACTACCAATGGTCATCCGTGACACGAAGTAGTGAGTCACGAAACTGGAAGGTACTCCGTCCGCAAGGCGGAGCGGTTTTGGTTGGATTAGGCGCTTCTTTTGCGCTCCATACTTGATCGCAATGCTCTGGTCGTCTGCGAAGGCATAGGCCGAGCTGCCGGTGTCAACGAGGCTCACCGTTTCGACGGTGGAAGTGGGGGACTGTGTGCGCGTAGAGGCGAGAGATGTATGGACAAGGATGGAATTTTTATTACTGGTGCTATCTGCGGCGTGCAGGTCAAAAGACTGCTTACCTAGGACCAGTGGTGTTGGGTCCAGCAGCAGAGCTCGGATCCTCTCATCCTCTCCCTCATAGAGTTTCGACCCTCGCGAGCGACTTAGCGCAAGGGTTGATCTTTTGACTGTATCCAGACTGGGTTCGGGTTGTGGCTCGGATTGTGACCCGCCTGGCTGGCATCGTCAGAATCGGTCGGCGTGTAGTCCGACTGAACCTCGCCAATGGCATGACCTGCCTCGTGATCGGCAGCGCGCAGCTGGTACTGGTCCTGGTGCCAGGGGGGCATGTGGCTGGTCTGAGGCTGGTAAACTCGAGGGCGCGGCTGGGCGGCGTAGCCGCCCCGGCCGTGGGAAAGCGAGTTGCCGCTTCTGAAACCTCCACGACCTCGGAAGCTTGGTGCGAAATTCCCGCGGCCACGGTTGTTGGGGCCGCGAGGCTGAGTGGTGCGTTGGGGCATGGGCAGTGGGTGGGGGTTGGTTTGCGGGTCGTAGTGATGTGCGCTCGGGTCTTCTTGGCTTTGACGAACAGCTCGTCCAGTTCTTGCTTCCAGGACCAATAGTTGCGGTTTCCCTGGGAGAACAGGTCGAGCTTGTCCTTGGCGAACTGGGAGGAGTCTGTTGTGACATACTGTTGGCGCATGAACTTCAGCATCGCCTCCCAATCATGGAACTTGAGGTTGGGATCGTTGGGGTTCCCGCGGAAGGCAGTTACGTGACCAGAGATGAACTGGAAGGCTTTTCCATCACACTGGTCGGCGATGTAGCCGATGCGGAGCTTCGGGGTGTCGAAATAGTCCAAGTCGCGGTCGAAAACACCTATAATCTTCGCCTCCCAGGTCTCGTAGGACTCCTGGACCCTGTGGTAGGCGCCGTCCTTAGCGTCAAACTTCGATGGGGGGTCGGTCGACATTCGCTTTCTGGGATAGTTCCCCTTGCTAGAGCTAAGAGCGCCTGTGCGTCTCTGGCCTTCGAGCGACTGTCGTTGTTGTTCAATAATGATGTTCTTGAGCGAATCCCGTTCTTTAGCGATGGTCTGGAAATTGGCCTCAGAGATCTTGCTGCGGGATTCGAAATCGTCTCGTTCTTGGGCGAGGGCGCAGATCGAGTCCTCTATGGAGTTGAGAAGATCGCTGTAGGGCTTGAGCGCCTCGGTGTAGGCGACTGGGTCGGTGACACGGATTGAGTCCGTCTGGCGGATAATAAGGGCGAGGCTCGGGCATCGTTGATTTTCGAAGAGCTTCGCGAGCTCGATTCTGGGGTCTGTGGGTATCGAGTCGCCCATTTTGATAAATCTCGGGGGTTTTCAGTCGTCTTGGGCTTCGGGGTTCTTCGGGTTCTCAGGGTTCTTAGTGATCTTGGGGCTCGGGGTTGGGGTTCGCATTGGTCCTGGTTCGCTGGGGACGTATCGGAAAGGCTCTTCGGGTCGCCGGGTCGTACGACAGTGAAAATGGCCGGGCAAAACCCGGGAGGGGTTCACTGGCTGTGGCGCACGACGGGGCGACAATTTGATGATAGAGCAAACTGTCACAGGACCAGGGTATGTCTGAGAAGATGACTGCGTTGCTCTATGAAGAAGGGAAGAAACTACTGTGTATAGGGATGCAGAACCTGAAGATGGGTACATCGGCCAGGCACGTGACTAGGCACGTGACCCGGGGACCAACGGTCCAGTGCCGTGACACCCGACGACCCTACCGAGCCCCGGCTACTAATTTTGGATAGCTATAGGAGCCATATCATATATAACTTTATATAGTTATACCTGTGACGAACCTGTCTCTGGACCCGTCCTGTTAGGGTTCAGTATCGGTTGAAGGTATTCTCTCAAGGGTGCTTAGGTTCGGTGCAGCCAAAGGGTGCACAACAAAGACTTGTCTCAACAGTAGGCTCTCGAGCTTATAGCGAACTGTAGTTGTGATTGCTAACTGGAGAACTCCCAGAGCTCTCCAGAACGAGTGACTATATACTATCTAATTCCCTAGATGCTCAGTGTGCTCAGTTCCTTCAGACACTGAGCTCACTGATCTCTGCGGTCGATCTGAGCATCCTAATTGGTGGCTGGGCCGGGGTGCTCAGTCTGCTCAGTTGCCAAGCAGACTGAGCTCACTGATCACCTCCCCCCGTCCTTCCTGATTGGCTCGCCCGGGTCCCTGGCCCGGGGCGTCCCGTGCCCCGTGGTCCCGCCTGTTGGCATATTCGTGACAGTACCATCACAGGCAACCACCTCCCGTAACAGTTCTCCAGTTAGCAATTACAACTATAGTTTACTATAAGCTTAGAAGCCTACTGTTGAGACATTATTGTTATCCTGTCCGGAGGACAATATTGTTACCAAACTCGAGAAAATTACGATGCAAAAATCGATGGAAACTGATAAGAATTAGCGGAGCCCTCTTATCCGAGTCCGGGAATTGGCTGGCGGCTTTATGAGGCCCACTATATACCGGATCCGGCGTGCGGCCCACAAAGCCCCCCACATCTAGCCGAGGCCGGTTGCATGCGGCGATAGCCGAGCGCAAGCTGGACAAGCTGTCGGTGCCGACGACAAACAATTGTTTGTTTGCGTTGACCACAAATCCTGCACTCATCAAAACATATATTTCGCGACTCTTCCTCATTAACACTTATTTTGCCTTCCTCCTGGTCGCAACATACGCTCGTTATGGACGGTATATGCTGCTGTGATGGAGGGCGCTATGCCAGCGCAGCGGGTGTGCCGTGAATGTCGCGTCGAGAAACCTCTCGATCAGTTCTTCGCTGTGCGCGGTAGCAGGATTGTTACGAAGTGTCTGGATTGCAGAGGACACCAGAGGGAATCAGTATTAATCAACATCATATTTAGCCACTTCTACCTCTGCTGACTTCAGCTTTACAGGATATTGCATCAGCGACGCGTATCTCGGCCGCCAGCGCGATCGCCCGTGGCCCGGTCGCTCCCCCGACATTGCCAAATCCGGTTCATCTCGCGCCCCGTCAGAACCTTACTTACTCATCGGGTGCTTGCCGGCATGTACCACCAAGGCGGACGTGTCGAGACAGATGCGCCGGAGATGGCGGCTGCTCGTGGGCAGATTGCGGCCATCCAGCGACAGCATCGTGTCCAGCGCCGTCACGGTGGACAGCCGTCGCAGACCCCCACTATAAGTGGTCTGCTTCGTCAACAACAGCAGGCGGATGCTGAAGATGGCCTCCCCTCGTCTGCACAGCCTAGGCAGAGCCCCGCGGAAGACGAGGATGACAATTCGCAGGCTTCCCAACCACAGCTCCCCCGCCCTGGGCCGGTTCCCTCACGCCGCCCTCGGTTATCATCTTTGCAGCCCCGTGGTCGGCCACGTGGCCGTCCCCGACTCTCTCGCCCTGGTCCGTCCCGTGGTAGCACGCGTGGCCGCCCACCACAAGCACGCAACCCAGTTGGCCGACCCTCTCGCGACCGTGAGACACCCTGCCGCGACTTTGACGAGTCTGGTCCACGCTTCTCAGGCAATGACCAAGAGGCCCCGTTATCACCAGAAGACATTGCGATAAAACGAGACTTCGACGAAGCACTCGCCGCAGAGGGGATGCAGCGATGCTCGCGCTGCAAGGAGCTGTGGTTCGACGTCGAGCTAAAGGCGGACGGTGTTTGCAAGCGCTGCCACGACAAGGACGACAAGAAGCGACAGGACGAGCCGTTCTTTTACTCCGCAACAAACCACCTTGACTTCGGCTTTGTCCCGCCCGAATTACCTCAGTTGGAGCCGCTGGAAGAGCTCGTTATTGCGCGGGTTCATGTCAGCGTCAATGTCTTTACGGTATAGTACTTCCTTGCATGAGAGCTCACTAGCTAACGAGTATCAGGTAAGAGGGCAGCAATACAAGTACCGTAGGCACGTCGTCCACTTCTTGCGCGACGTTGGCAAGGTCTACTCCGAGCTTCCGTTGCTGCCAAAGGATTTGGATATTGTGATCCTCCGTCCGCGCGGGTCCGAAGGTGTCGAGCAGAGGACTTGGCAATTTGGCCGCCGCTTCCGAGTCCGTCGAGCAGCAGTCGAAGCGTGGCTCAAGTTCCTTGCAGAGCACCATCCTGGGTACAGGGGTTTCACCTGCCACTACGATAACCTCTCCCAGTTGCCGGAGGATGGCGACGTCTTTGACCAGCTAAATATCCACGAGGTCGAGGAGGAGGGCGATGCTACCGAGGCCGTCGACGATGCCGCTGTACCGCACCTGCTGATCCACGACTCAGAGCTCAACCAGCTCCAGGGCCGAGTCAGCGACAGGGCTGACGAGGCCGGCGAGCGGGTGCCCCTGCGGCCTGTCGACCCCCAGGCTGCCCACCAGCTACAGATGCCCTCCATTCAGCACACACCCCTGGACGAGTTCAACCAGAAGTATGCGCTACTTTCTCTAGCCTGCCCGACACTGTTTCCTCGGGGGATTGCAGACTTCGTTGAGCCGAGGCAGCGCAGCATCTCCTACCAGGACTACATCCAGCATGCGATGAAGTGGGAGGATGGCCGATTCGCCAGGCATCACAGCTTCCGGTTCATCGCTCTGAACACTTTGATGCGGCAACAGGCCAGAGGCCACAGCAAGTTCTACGTCAGCAAGAGCCACAGCATGCCTCTCACCAAGGAAGCCCTGCAGCAGGCGCTTGCCGACCCGGACACGCCAGAGGCCCAGGCGATTCTCAACCGGATCTCTCGCTTTGCTGGTGTCATCAAGGGCACACGTCCGTTTTGGTACCGTCGACGCCGCGAGTGCGAGTCTTTCGCGCACTGCCTCGGTGTGCCCTCGACATTTATTACGCTGAGCCCAGCCGATCTACACTGGCAGAGCCTCTACCAGCACATGCCCGAGTATGAGGAGTGGAAGACCCTCGACGAGCCGAGGCGCATGGCCAAAGCCCGCCGGCTACTGCGGGAGAACCCGCACATCGCGGCTTGGCACTTCCACTCGCGGAACATGCTGTTCAGGGACATCGTGCTCAAGAGGAAATTCAACCTTGCCGACTTCTGGTGCCGGTACGAGTGGCAAGGCCGCGGCAGCAGCCATTCCCATGGGCTCTACTGGTTTAAAGGAAGCCCCCCTCCTGATATGGCGACTCCCGAGGCGAGAGCGCACTTCGCGAGGGTCTGGGGTCATCAAGTCACAGCGGTCAACCCACAGCGGGATCAGGGTGCTGATGAGGGTAACCCTCTGTCTGTTGGCCCTCTGGAGGCGGATGTCACCTGGGAGTGGTTGAACCGAATCATCAACCGCTGTCAGCGACATCAGTGTTCGACGACCTACTGCCTGCGGGTGACCAAGAGGGACGCCGAGCGCGCTAGAGAGGCCGCAGAACAGGCCGCTGCGGAAGACCAGCCGCCACCAGTACCCACGTGTCGGTTTCTGTTCCCACGCCCTACTCGAGAGAATGCCGAGGTCATCAAGAGACCTGGGAAGGGCTGGTGGTCGTTCGAGGCCGAGCGTAATGACACCCACCTTAATCAGTACAACCCACTGGTGGCTCTCTGCTGGCTGGCCAACACAGACTGCTCGCCCTGCACGAGTGTGGAGGCTGTTATCAACTACGCTGCGAAGTATTGCAGCAAGTCGGAGGTTCAGACCAGCACATATGCGCAGATTGCACAGAACATCCTGCCCCACATCTCGGACCACAATCCGATGGTTTCCTTCGTGTCGAAGCTTATGAACAAGCTGGTCGGCGAGAGGGACTACTCTGCCCAGGAGATCTGCCATATCTTGCTGGGACTCCCTCTCCAGGAGGACAGCCGAGTTGTGCAGAGCGTCGACTGCCGGCCCCGCGACCGGCAGTCTCGCCCAATCGACATCACGGCGGAGGGCGATATTGAGGAGTCTCAGACAGCCTACGACAAGTACCTCCGGCGGCCCGACTGGATGGAGGACGTCTCCTATTTTGAGTTCCTCCAAGACTGGAACTTCAAGGCGCGGAACCCGGTCAAATGGGCGAGATGGCAGCCTCCTGCGATGCCGAGGGTCCTTAATTATTTCCCGCGCTACAAGCCGGCCCGCTCACACCAGCAATTCTCTGACTTCTGCCGCGTCAAACTGTTGCTCAACCATCCGCATCGCGAGTCTACCGAGCTTCTTGAGGTCGACGATCGGCAGTTTCCTAACTATGCTGCTACTTACCAGTACTGCCTCGAGCGCCACAACCACCCAGACGACCACTACGGCACTGTCGACGAGCCGGATCCATTGCCGGACGAGGATGAGTTCGAGCCCGGAGAGGGTTTCGGGGACACCACCCTCGAGGACTGGCAGGAGGTGGCCCGGCAGGTCCCCGATATGCATCTTGCCGAGGAACAGGCCGACCTGCTCGGCCGCCGAGATATCGACGTCAACTACGACTGGGCACCGCATATCGCTCGCTATTACCACGAGGGGTTTACCACCGGAGACTACTAGGCACAGCTCCGCGGAGACACCCCGGGTTACTACGATGTGGAAGGGTTGCCTCTCGAAGCTCGGGACACCTTGAACACCGAGCAGCGGCGGGTGTACGACACAGCCATGCGTCATTTCAGAGCGAAGCTTCGAGGTCGTCAGCCTCCGCCACTCCGTCTACAGGTTGATGGAGGAGGCGGGACTGGAAAGTCGTACATGGTGAAGGTGATATCTTCTCACCTTCAGGCCGAGGCGGCTTTGGTTGACGGATGCTCCCCCATCGTCAGGGCAGCCCCAACTGGGGTGGCAAGCAATCAGATTGGGGGACAGACCCTGCATTCCCTGCTACGGCTCCCCGTTGACGGGAACTACCGCCCGCTCTCCGAGACCCCGACAGTTCTGAACGCGTTGCAGCGGCGGTTTAGGGGCATTTACTACCTCGTGATCGACGAGAAGAGCATGCTGGGCCTCAAAACCCTCGCGTGGATCGACCAGCGCCTGCGGGAGGTGTTCCCAGAGTGTCGCGACGAGTTTTTCGGCGGCCTCAGTGTCATTCTGATCGGAGACTTCTTCCAGCTCCCCCCTGTCCTCAACAAGGCGCTTTACTCTACAGGCGACGACCTGAAGGACATCGAGATTGTCGGGCGTAATGCGTACCTCTCATTTGACAAGTCGGTGTTTCTGACCACAATACAGCGGCAGCAGGGCGAAGACCAGGCCCCGTTTCGGCGGGCCTTGGAAGAACTGCGAAAGGCTGATGTGTCCGTACCCTCCTGGGAGCTCCTTGCTTCGAGGTGTTCTGTCAAGCTCTCTCCCGGGGAGGTTGACAGCTTTGCTGATGCGCTTCGCATCTATCCCACCAAGGCCCAGGTCGTCGAGTACAACCACCAACACATGCTTGGCCTGGACAGCCCCGCCATTCAGGTCGAGGCAACGCACGAGGGTGTTGGTGCGGAGAAGGTTGAATCTTCAAATGCCGGCAACTTGGCCAAGCGCTTGCCCTTGTGTGTTGGTTGCAGGGTGATGCTGACGCGGAATTTGTGGGCCGACGTCGGGCTCGTCAACGGCGCACAGGGCACAGTCTACGACATATCCTGGAAAGAAGGTGCCGACGTGCTGCGAGACCCGCCCGAGGTCATCATGGTGGCCTTCGATGACTACGACGGCCCGGCCTTCACGATGCCGAACGGGGAGCCGCTCCGTAGTGGACAGAAGCTGGTTGTTCCCATCCTCCGAGTGCGGCAGGAATTCATGGTCGGCGCCAACTCATGTTCAAGAGAGCAGTTCCCGCTGCTGGTCAGCTATGCGATCACCGTCCACAAGTCACAGGGCATCACCCTCGACAAGGTCGTCTGCGATATCTCTGCGCCAGAGTTTGCTTCTGGCCTCTCCTACGTGGCCGTTTCACGGGTGAAGACAGTCGGCGGGCTGATGTTTGAGCGGCCCTTCGACCGCAGCAGGGTCTATCGCGAGATACCATCACGAGCTATGGGGTTGAAGTTGTTGGATCACGCTACTAGGCGACTGCGGGCGTTAGATGCTGTGGCGGGGGTGGGTCCTTCAGAGGAGTCAAGTGGGTTTATAAGTAGCGACGACGAGAGTGTAGAGGCATGAGTACTTAGACTATACTAGAAAGGATTGGTATAAGTGTGATGAGAAGTTCAAGTGGATGGAGTTGTTGGCCGACGGACAGATATTGGCGCTTCGTCTCTCCCGTATTCAACCCTAACCCGGATTGTCCTCCGGAGAGGGACAGGAAAATTGCCAGGAGCGGGAGAGAGGAAGGAAGCGCCCCGTAGCGTAGCGAAGGGCCGCGCGACTGACGAACGAAGCGACGCCAGCAATTTTATATTAGTATACTATCTAAGGTTAGAGTTAGAGTTAGAATTAGTAGCGTTTAAGACAATAATTACTGTTAAAACTATCTTATATATTAATTCCTAGTAGATGTAGGGTAAAAGATTATTAAATGCGAGGGTGGGTGGGTGTTTCTACTTCCATTGGGGTAGATCTAATGATGATTTGTAGGTCGATTTGGGTTTTGGCAGTGATGGAGATTTGACGCGCCGTAGACTTGTTTTGATTCGGCCAATCGCTCGAATCGCTGACGACCGACTCATCCTCTTGAACGAGGGGCAGCGCACGGACCATGTAACACAGCTGTACCTCTGCTGGGTAACAGCGCCTCAGCGGACTTGGGCCCCATCTGGCCTCGTCGAGAATAGCTGCCCTTAGGTTCCTTTGGTTCCTCAGCGTTGTCTTCACCATTTCGAACCTCCAGACTACAACAAAGCCCATTTTTACAGACTCGCCATGTCTCTACAGTTCCGCACCGCGAAAAGTCCAACGGCGCTGGCGGCGCGACGAAGGCCGTGATCCTGGTCAGTGGTTGGCGGGGAATTGGGGGGCAATTCGATTGCTGCCACACCACCGTCGAGCGCCGGGCGATAACCTGGCCTCCGGCTGGCCGGCTGGGCGAAGCCCGCGACGAGGCGCGGTTCCCACTTACCGCCCTGTTCCATAGTTCGGCGTGGTGAGCGGCACGGAGGCCAACGGGCCCGTAAAAGTTTGGCCCTGCCATTGTACTTCGCGAACTGGTTTGCCTCGAATACCCTCGTCACCTCGTTCACGAACCAATCGCCATCCTCGCGGCTCCCCCAGGACGCCTATGATACCACCAGAATCGGTTATCACACAGATAGAGCTCACGGCTGTGGGTGGCTGGGGTGTACGGATCACCCATATGTTTTCAATTGATGATTGTTCTCTCTTCAGCAGTAGGACATCGCCCTAACCCTTATCAATTACTCGTTGCCCAACCCCTAGATACACTCAATCGAGCTTCCAAGTTTTGAATGCCTCTATTTCCATCGCTATGAAGCTCTGGAACGCCGCCTGAAACTCAGCAATTGAACCGACACAATCAAGTGTGTAAAAATATCAATCCTTTTCTTAGCTCTGTTTCCGGCGTCATCCTCCCGGTTTGATGACATCGCCCGCTTGGTCAACCGCTGGAGCATAACTTCGGGCGGACACTCCATGACGATGGTTGCGTACCGAGGCGATACCTAAGTATCCTGTTAGTCCGGCGGTTATTGTGTTGCCCTGACCTCCTTATCGTAGATCTCTCTTCGACCTCTTTGGAATTGGAGCTGCCCAACCTCTCCATCGTAGGCCTTTCCCCGACATCTTTGTCTTTGGGGCTCTCTGTGACCTCTGCGTCAATGGCGCCGTGGGATTGACTTCGCTCTCCATCTCGTCGAACAACTTCTCAGTGCAGTCGAAAACGTGGTTATATTCGAACCCTTTCGATCGAAATCGGCGATGGAAAAGCCGGCGAAGGTACGAGTAGTCAAGCTTGTCATCGAAAGTCAGGCGCCGAGTGTAATCGATGTATTCGGCAAATTCTCCAGGGAGAAAGCCGTCGCAGAGTGCTTCGCCCGACAGGCCCTCCTTCATCTCCTTGATCCGCTCGTCTTTCTCGTCGTTCATAGCAGCCTTCAGACCCAGCCATGGCAACGAGCCCCGAGCGAAATACACGAAAACGTACCCAAGGGACTCCAAGCCATCTCCCCAAGACTGTTCTTCCTGCGCATTCGCAAGCGGACGGGTAGCATTGTGATAAAATACCTACCACGGCCGTTGTGGTTGTTGATACTTGCATACCGCCTAGTGCCGTCCAATGGGACGCCTTTCATATCCTTGCAACGCTCGAGGCCAAAATCAATCGTGTAGAGGGTTTCCCTGTTTATCGAGCCCCATCAAAAAGTTGTCTGGCTTGATATCGCGATGCAGGAAGCCCTTCGAATGGATGTATTGGATACGCGAGATGGCCTGGTCAACGATGAGCATGATGGTCTTGAGCGAGAATCTTCGGTCTCGGTAGTTGGTTTCTCGTCTAGGTCTTAGCCACGCATACCGGAGGTCCACGAGCCGGGATATATTCGCTCACGGCTCTGGGCCATTTTCTTCTAGCTTACGATCAACGAGCGGCTTATTTAGTGAGGGCTCAAAAGGGTAGGGGCGGTGAGCTTCCCGCTTGAGGGAATAAGCTGTTTGTAGGCCCTAAGTCGGAGATCGACCGTCCCATAACAGCTCAAGGGCCTTAAACAGTTTGAATTGAACAAGCGGGGATATATTCGCTCAAAGGGTAAGATGTTGTACGTTTTTCAGTATCCGGTGTGGACGGGTATGGTGTGTCAGCATCGCAGTAGGGTCATTGAGAAATCCAAGCCCTTGCCTGTACCGGCCACACTCTCAAATATGAATCTTCACAAGTCCCGGCCGACGTCAAGGGTGTCGTTATCAGATTCGCATCGTTGAAGATTTTGATTACGTCGTCTAGCAACATTTTGATACCGCCACTGTATACCACCTATGCAGTGACGACGGAGGTGGCGATCGTAAAGGAGTTCGAGAGATGGTTGAGGAGGGGCGATTCTGAGCCACAAGATACCGGCGTGTAGGCTTAGGATTCGGCCCCACAAGAGGAGTGTAAAAGGTTCGGCAATCAAGGTAGACCGGTGCCATGGTGTTGTCAGTAATTACGCACTGCTAAGTTACAGAATAGTGCCAAAAGTTGGAGGGGAAACAACGCCGGGAAAGAAACTGGCCTGGTGCCAACAGCCGAACACCCTGCGGAGCGCAAGCGACTTTCTCGCCACAACCTGCACAACCAATTCGAGGCGTGCCCACCGCACACCGCGCGATCAAATAAACGACGCGGCCAGCCTAATGCAAACTACACCGCAAGATGGCGATGGTACGAACTCTCAAATAGAATTTGGCTTGGATAGCACCACCAGCCTTTTTTCTTGGTCGTGAGGCGGATTGATTACTGATGGATAATAGGAGATTCACGGCGGAAACAAATACCGGATTGGTCGCAAGATTGGTTCGGGATCGTTCGGCGATATCTATTTGGGGACCAACATCATCTCCGGCGAAGAGGTGGCCATCAAGCTCGAGAGTCACAAGGCAGAGCACCCGCAGCTTGAATATGAGGCTCGCGTCTACAAGTCTCTTGCTGGAGGTGTTGGCATCCCATTTGTTCACTGGTTCGGTACTGGATGCGACCACAACGCTATGATTCTGGATCTTCTAGGACCCAGCTTAGAGGACCGATTCAACTTCTGCAATCGCAAGTTCTCGCTCAAGACGGTCCTGCTGCTCGCCGATCAGTTCATTTCGCGCATCGAATACATCCACGCCAAATCGTTCATCCACCGCGACATCAAGCCCGAGAACTTTCTTATGGGCCTTGGAAAGCGTAGCAACCAGGTCAATGTGATTGACTTTGGCCTTGCAAAGGAGTACCGCGACCCGAAGACACACTCCCACATCCCCTACAGAGCGAAAAAGGACCTGACCGGCACGGCACTCTATGCCTCCATCAACACCCACCTTGGTATTGAGCAGTCCCGCCGCGACGACATGGAGTCACTCGGTTACGTCATGCTCTACCTCTGTCGTGGCTCGCTCCCGTGGCAGGGTCTCAAGGCTTCCACCAGGGACGAGAAGCACGGCCGCATCATGGAGAAGAAGATGAGCACACCTACCGATGAGCTCTGCCGTGGGTTGCCCAATGAGTTTGCCATTTACCTGAACTACGCCCGGTCACTCCACTTCAAGGACAAACCTGACTACAGGTATCTGCGAGCGATTTTCCGCAACCTTTTTGTCCGTGAAGGTTTTCAGTACGATTACATTTTTGACTGGACCGTCTACAAGCACAAGGAGAATGCGCTGGCCATCCAGAAAACTGCCCGCCATAGTGTTGCGTTTCCGTTGATTAGCTTACAGAAGGCCGCTAAGCACGGCGACGGGAGGACGGCCCAACTCGCGAGGATGGGCTCGTCTAAGAGAATCTCGACTCCCCATCGCGGTGATTCTAGCAACCAGCGCCGCACCGCTCGCACCATGACGGTAGCCACTACCATGACAATGTCGCCCCCCAACCTACACCCCGTCCCCACCACGGAAACAGTCGGCGCCAGCGGATCGAGAGCGGGAGTAGGGGCAGCAGTCGGCGCAGGCGTCCCGTTTGGGTTCGCCGCCACCGAGAACTTCTTCCCGTCATGGGAGGCCCGCAAGCGCCGTCAGGTGTGGTACTACGCCATGTGCGCGTTGTGCCTTTTCCCGTTTATCGCACCGCTCGTCTACTGGGGCACGTTTGACGCCGCACCGTGGCGGTACACACACGGCGAGGCGGAGTTGCTAACGAGGCGCCAGCGGTGGAACATATTGGTTGTCTGCGTCGCGTCCGCTGTGGCGTGGTTAGTCGTGCTGGTTGTTTTGGTCACCGTGATGGTTATTCGGAAGGTGGGGTAGGGGCGTGCTTAGAATCGTGTGGGGAAACTAGAGTTGCGGGGTTAAGCTGGGATACGAGCCGGTGAGCGTGACATGATCGCCCTGGAGTCAGCTTTGTCGAGGGATGTTAGGTGGGCAAGGGTGAGATTAAAGTCCAATAATCTCCGTTGTTGTTTGACGAATTCGCGGTTGGGTCAAGGGGGTGGCACCCCCTGTCCAAAAAAAGCCGTACACCAAAACCATCACCCAGCACTTTAATGCATCACAATTCAGTCAAAACGCGGCCAAATCTATTGATTCTAAGTGCGTTCTAATGCCCTGTTATGGCTTCCTCCATTTCTTCCACTCGGGTAAAGACGGGATCTAGGTGCGCGACGGAGGGTAGATCCGGGGAGGTTAGTGGGACACTCTGCCATCCAGTGGGCTACGCCGACTAGCTCTCGTCGGCGCCGGCGTACACCGTGATAGGGTCCAACCCAATCCATGGGCCATGACGTCGAGGACATATGCGGCGTCGTCAAGTCTTCTGACGTACGGAATCGGGACCAACTGCGGAATACAAGGCCCCGATGACTACCTCGTCTAACCATCGGTCCACAGTTTCCCCTAGGCACCCCTGGGAACGTCGGCAAGGCTGTCATCTCCCGCCGGGGGGGCGGGCCGGGCCTTGGACCGCTTGGGGGGTGACATACTCCGAGACTTCGAACCCTCCCTCTTGATGCTTGGAGTGGGGCTCTTGGTTATACGGTCCCTAGAGCCTGCTCTCGGGGGGCGCGCCTTCTTGCGGTTGGCCCCTGACTTCTCGCCCGGCGATTGCGCAGCCTCCCATTGGGTGTGGATGAAGTCCGCTCCTTCCGCGGCGTTTTCAACAAGTAGGAGAATCCGAGTAATGCTTTTCGAAGCTCGTGAACGTAGCCTTGACGGCGCCATCCTGAGGGATTTCTGGGTTGCATGCCGGACACCGGATCTTAGGTTTTGATTTTGCCGCCTCTCGGCGTAGGTGGTCGTTCCACTTATTAAATTCCATTTCTTAAAAATGGCAAAGGCTCGTCCAAGTCAATTAGGGCTCGAGGTGTTACGGTCGTGCAGGCAAAGAGATATCGCTGCAAGGAGATGTTGTCACAAGAAGATGCTGCCACAAGCTGATGTCCATAATATGAAGAGTTTGCCCTGGGATGTACGTGATCCTTTAATACATCGCTTTGGCACACACACGGGGTTGATCCAGTGCGCGGACAAGAATGGGATTGGGCCTTTGGGCATGGCGGGAGGTAATACTTTTCTGACGATTTGCATTGCTGTGCTTGAACCCTGCCTTTTTGGACCCTGCATTTTCACCGTGACAAAGGCGATCGGTGTTCGGTACGAAATACTGCTTCCCACGTGACTTGGAGACCCTGCAGAATAAAACGCGTCACGGTTGCACACCACAACCCGCAATGGACCCAGGCGTTTTACGAATCGCCGAACAGTGAAAGGGACTACATTCGGTAAGCCCCCGCTTACATTAGCCCAGAATTGGCCTCGCATACCAATCCACCCGGCCCTACAGCTGCCCGATGTGCTGTCGTCCCGGGCTCCTCGGAACCCTCATCCTCTTCTTCCAAGCACTCAACGACCGCCGCGCCCAGAAGCGGGCCGCCCGCGTCAAGCAAGCGGCCAAGAAGCACCCTCCCAAGATCGGCCACCACCTCCAATATCGATAACATAACCATGCTCCACGAAATCCTCCTCTCCCTCTCCGGCCACCCCTCCCCCCTCCTCCGCTCCGCCTCCTCCTCAAACGCAACCGCCCCCCCCCCCCCCCCCAGACAACGCCAACGACAACAACAACCCCACCAACGCCCTCACAACCCCCGAACGCGCCCTCCTCTCCTCCCTCGCCCACCTCAGCGACCTACACATCCACCTGCTGACCTCCACCGCGCACACCGCAACCGCGCACCCGTCCGTCATCTGCCGGGCCGTCGCGTCCGCCACCGACGTCCTGCACCTAGCCGCCTTCCGGCGCAAAGTGCGCGTTGTCGAGGAGACGCTCCTGCGTAAGGATGCTGCGCTGGTCGGGGCGTATGATATCGTGCCGCTGACGGCGGTGGGGGCGGAGTTTGTGGGGTGGGGGAGGAGGTTGGAGTGGTTGGGGAGGGTGCTAGAGATTATGGTGGGTGATGGGGGTGGTGGTGGGAGGGAGGCCTCTGCTGGGTGTACGGGGGGCAAGGGTGATAGATTTTTTTTTCGGCGGGGGGGGGGGGGGGGGTATTTACAGACGGGGTATCAGGATGTGGAGGAGGCGGCGAGGAGTTTGGTCGGTGTATTTAATACTAGTTTTACTCTTTACTTCGAGGTAATCCCCAATGGGGGCGCCCGGGGTTTGCTAAGCCGGGTATATGGCAATGGTGAGGAGTGTGCCGTAAGGTTAGGCAGTAATAATAACCAGACACCGGGCACTCGGTCGAGTTAGTCCATCCTCTCCCAACTGGCTCCATCGGTACACCTCAGAATCTCTGCGGAGTAGTACCTCAAAATGAGGCGACTGTGCGTAAAATCCACTCGCTCCCTCGCCCTCCTTCCGTCCTCTCTATCACACAATTTACCGCACTGTATAGTGAAACTACTTTTGGCACGCCCATTAGGGCTTTGGTTGCTTTTCAACACGAAAACCCGAAATCTTTCCATAACCCCCAACCCGAATTTTAGCCTTTTTCAGAATGCGTCGTCTCTTCAACAATCAATTCCCACTTCCCTCGTCTTCCACTCGTTCTCTCCTCTCAGAGTTCAACTTCGGTGGACAACATTCACGATGCAGGCCCGTTCGTTAATTCTAGCACTTTTGGTGCTCTGCATCAACGGATTTACTTGGGGAAATGGGAGAAGTGGCCGGGCTGGTAAGTTGGGTGAGACCTTTGAGGATGCGGCTAACACTTATCTTTTGGTAGTGCCAACCTTAGACAAGCCATATGAGCGGCCGTCGAGCTCCCGTCTACCTAATATTTATGCCGTTGCGCTCACCGAGCTTCAGGAACTAGAGTTACATCCTCTCTGCCACCGCGTCGCGGCGCGGCTCTTGGTGAACAACTGCGAACTAGTGGACGGCAAGGACGAAGCGACAATCCTCACTGACAGCGGACGAAAGGTGCGCGACTTTGTCGACTCGTACGCAGCTAGTCTGGCCATTTGCGATCTTGAGAGAGGAAACTTCGTGATTCCGGCGGAGTGCGCAAAATTCCGGGAGCCGTCGCTTAGTCAAATCGCCATCAGGAACGAACCCCAGCTGCATGTGAGCTCGGGAGAGATTGGGCTATGTCTCGCAGCTCTGGCTGCATCAGACGCGGCTTGGAATACCTGGGTCAGCTATCGCCACAAGGCGCTACGCTTTTGCGAGGCTGCGAGGGCGGACCATGAGAAGGGTTAGTGCTGTTGACCCAAGCGACTAAACGCCACTAATACTATCGCAGCAAAAAACATTTTGCTTTACCAGCGACTAACACAGGTTATCGCTCGGCTTACCGATAGTGTCGAGGCCGAGCTACAGCAGCGGCTAAATGACCTTGATAGCCGCGCCCGCCAGTCAGTGGAAAGATTGGAGCAGCTCACGCCACAAATCGGGCGATTGAGTAAAGAACTGGCAAAATTGGAAAGCTACCTCTCGGGAGACCTGAACCTGGCACTAAGACAGTCCTCGAAGTCCATCAACGATGGGCTCCAACACGCCGACAACCTGCAGCAGCTGTTGAGAATGTTGCTGGCTAATGTTCTGGAGAGCAATTCTCAACTAGCCTTGGCGTATGAGCAATCTCTACAGCGCGCATCTCAAAGAGTTAACGATGACATGGGGGCTCTGGTAGCTGTGTTGTCTACAGCCATGACATCCTCCAGTTCTCTCCAGAAGCAGATAGTAAGCTATAACAACCCTCAACCCTAGGCTCGCCCGCTCACTCTCCCAAGCAACTGTCAGACAAACAGGCAGCCGTGCTCGCCCAACGGCAGGAAACCCTCCACCACGGCATGGACCGGTTGGCTATAGCAACTGAGACGCTGTCCGAAAAGTTTGAAGACCACTCGAGTATGCTAAAGCAAGTAAGCAACATCACCAACGATATTCTCGATACCTTGGAAGAAACTGCTGTCGTAGCATCTTCTGTCAACGAATCTTTTAGTCGCGCGACGACTCTGCGCCGGTGGCCTTTCGCTATCTTTCCCACAGCTACTCTTGTCCTGGGATCATACGGGCTTCCACCATCGATCCTTCGCAATCTCGCTCTGTTGGCGCTAGGCGGGCTGGTCGGCTTCATGGTCTCGTCTTACGATCAACTCACGACCCAATTATTTGGTGCTTTGCAAGCTACGGCAAACATCACAGAATCTTCGCTCTGATGGACGACGTGGAGATTAGAAGGGGCTGAGCGTTGCCACTCAAGCCTTCCCCAGGAGTGTGGCACACGGGACTGGCCTGTGCTTATGCACAGCTTCTTTCCTACAACAAGAGGGACCGTGCCGCGCAGCGGCACGCCAAAGGAAGCCTGGAGGAACATGCTGGTGCAGGTAGCCCACATAGCGGTATCAGAATTCCGTCGTGCGATTGATATTAGGGCAAGGGCAATTGTCTATTTGATCAAATCAATGTCGGGTTTAGTCAATAGGCGCGCCTTCTTTCTTCCCGCTGTGGATCTTTTGCTTCTCGCCGGTTTAGGAGAGCTTGGTTCCTTCCTCTTCTTTGTTGGGGTACTGCTACTCGAAGCGAGTTGAGCGTCCAACAATTCCTCTGTGTCCGAACCATCGTTCAAGCCATTGCCATCTAGATCGACGGTTAGATAGAAGGCGGCGATGCGTACCCGAAGATGGAACTGTGAGCATCGGGTTAGGGTTAGCCATGATTGACTCCAGCGGCGCTTTACGGCTAACCGCCGAGGTAGAAGATTTAATCTGAGGGTTAACGAAGTGGGGTTTCGAGCACGGTTTGGTGACGAGAACGGGTTTCTGCTTGCGACTCCTCTGGGGCCAGCGAGTCGTGCAGCCCCACAGCTGCATTTCAGCCCAGCACGGGCCACAAGCCCTAACTCGGTGCACCAGAGTCGAGTTCCAACAGGCAGAAAACGACGTCTCCTTCTATGATCGCCAGATAATCACAGTATAAGCTTTAAATCGCGTTTGAGGACGTACGGTCCGCGAACGTCCACACCGTGCTTGCAGTCTTCGATAGGCTTCTCGTTTCACCTCGGCGCGGGCGTCGGCTTTGGCGTCGGCTTCGGCGTCGGCTTTGGCGTGTGAAGCGCGTCTTCTTGGAGGGCGCGATCCATCTTTTTCTCTTCTTTGACAGCGGGGCCGAATCCCGCGTCTTCTGGGAGAGGTTTGCGACGCGAGAGAATGTGGGAAATCTTGGGGCGCTCGGGCTCTAGCTTACCTCGGCCCGCGCGCCGTAATCGGCGCCTTCTCACTCGGCGTCACCCGCGAGTTCCCCATCCGCCGCATCCTCCCGCAAGATGACCGATCACCAACGACAACAACCCCGACCGCGCTGGGCAAATCGCGATCCACCTCCCGCACAACTTGCTTCTGGTGATGCACGCCGACATGCAAGAAGAATGGAAGTACAGCATCAACCTAACCCAGGCCATCGACCCACACCCGGTCGCAGGCAACCGGCGCATCAACATCACCTACCGCCACTACCGCGACGGCTTCCACCCGCGCAACACCCCGCGCTGCCCCTGTGGCGTGCCCGCCGTACTGCGCGTCGTGACCAAGAAGCGCGAGAACTGGGGGCGGTATTTCTGGATGTGCCACGCCGGCAACGTGCACGGGGATGGTGGCCTGTGAGTTCTTCGGTGGGCTGAGTTTGACGATGATGGGGAGCCGTTAGGGATGAGACAAGACGGCATAAAGCGGGAGGGGCCAGCACAGGAGGGGCCATCGCAGGAGGAGCTGACGCAGTATGGTTAAAAACCCGGAGGCAAGAAAGTGAGATAAAAGGTTGGCTATTTGCCCATGACTCTAACTACATATTCGACAGCCAAACTCAAGTGATGTAAAAGAAAATGCCCAATCTATACATTACTGCCACCAGCTAGACCACCCCCACCCCCTCTCCTTCCCCTTGCCCTTCCTCGTCCTTACGCTCCCGCTCCCCTTCCCAACCATTCCCACCTCCGACCCCTTACCCTTGCTTACGCCATCCCTTGTCACATCCCCCATAGGGGCCGCATCACCCACCGACCATTTACCCTCAAGCCCGCGCCGTTTTCCCGTCTCCGGCCCCGTCCGGGAACCGGCACTGGTACGGGGGAGGGAGGATTGTTGGCTGGTTTTGGGTTCTTGATGGCGCTCATCAATGGTATTTTGTCCGTGGGGGAGTGGCATGGGCTGGAGAGTCGGTGGAACGTTGGGAGGCCTGTTTGTTACGCTAGACGGGGTTGTCCTGGACCGTATAACTCGCTGCATCACGGCATGCGCGTTCTCAGGCCCCCAGTGCGAGGCAATGACCTCGAATAGGCGGTTGGGCGCGGCGTGCAGGGCGGTGCCGACCATGGTCAAGTGGATTTGTGCCGCTTGATAGTTGCGGTAGCCGTGGTCTGGATGGTGGTTTGGATACTGGCGATGCCATCTGGCACCGTGCTGTTTACCGTCGCCGTCGTCTGTTTCTGCCTCTGGGGAAATCCAGAGTGGCAGTATGCCACGCGGACTCGCAGGTACTCCGTCACAGTGCCACCTAGTTCGTGCTCGAGGTCCTCGATCAGATCATCGGACTTTTGCCGGACATGGGTGCGAGGGCGATAACGGACGGCAGGCCCAAGGCGGATATGTGCGATAAAAAGCAGCCGGGATCCCGGATAGAGTACCCTGCCGGGGTTAGACATCATTAGCGACAAGGGCTGGTAGAAGCAAACCTACGTTGCACAAGTGCGCTCTAGCCGCTAGGAAGCTGGAAGGGCTGCTCACAAAACGCTCATCCAGGATAGCTTGCCAATACGGTAGAGGAAGCTCATAGGACTGGGCCACCCTAGCTCGAAGTGCAACATGCTAAGCATGAAACGCGCAGCCTGGAGAATCTCATGTACGCTATAGCCCGAATTCACCGTATAGACGATGTCCTGAACGGACGGACAGTCGATATCTTCGTACTTAGCCGCCACAAAAAGAGCGGTGGCGCCGACCAGCTGGAGCTTTCCGAGACATCCCATTCTTCTTCCTTACTTTCCTCCTCTATCTGATGGGCTGTGACGTACGCCTTCGCCATCTTCAGCTCCTTTTCGACGCCAGCTGTGACATACGGCGCGAGCAGAGTCGTGGGGCCGCTCGTGGTGTTATCACTATGCGATCGGTAGGAATGGACCGGAATGTAGCCCTGCTCGTAGGGCACCTGCTCCTCTTCGTCGTCCCAGTACTCCTCTAGCTCGGTGGTAGGCGGCGCAGCCAAGCCTTTGAGCTGAACGGTGGCATCATACTCGTCGTAGTGAGTACTTTTGTAATTAGTTCGCCTGCTCTATTTCGACCAGGACGTCTCGAACGGCACCTTCAGGGTCCTTTGACAATTGCTCAACTGCGTCCTTGAAAGTTGCTTCTGTCACGTTGTCGTCAATGTCATGGATGAGGTTGTCGGGCTGAATCATGAAATTGGTCTGCTGGTCCCGGAGACTATGCTGTTCGGTTCGGAGTACTGGTTTGACGGGGGTTCTTAGCCGGCTTACCCACCAAAACATCGAGGTTATCGATTAGAGACCGTGCCACTGCACGAACGTCGGCCTTTTGTTCCTGCCGGTCCTGGTAGGTGGCTGTGATCTTCTTGGAGACACGTTTCGCAGCGGGAGGTTGGGCGAGAGAGGTGCGAACATGATGCTGGTTGAGGATGCTGACGCGCGGTGTGGATTGTGCCGCCTGCACAACGGCGCTCTGCTGATACTTGGGAGCCTGACCGGTGCGCTTGGATGCCGCGGTGGGTTTGAGGCGGCCCTCTTTGGCATCAAAACAAAGCGCCCATTTCGGCGTTCCGAGTTGGACGATGTTGTTAGATACTGCTACGGTGGAGATGTCTCTTAACTTGCATAAATGGTGCTGCGCGTAACAAGTGAAGTTGTCGCCTGGCGGTCGGTGATCTCAGCTCACCGTGGGATGGGCAGCGCGGCGATGCCGGGGGTTGATGACAGGGAACAGATCTACTTCTCGCGATCCGAGTTGGAGTTCGAGACACGACCCAACGATGTTGGGAATATTTGCTCACAGTGGTGCCGTTCCGGGACCGCAGAGACTGGTGACCGAGTTGAGTTGACTAGACGAGCCGTTGCCGTAACAAAGACAAAAAGACTCGGTGTGCAACGTGTTGGGAAACCACTCGGCTAGCAGAAAAGTGCCCCGAGCCATGCATGTTGTATGTGTGTTAGGGAGAATGGAATGTTTGTGGGTCGTCGCTTAGGAGCGCCAGGGCACTTTGAAATGCGCGAACAACCTCTGAGACTGGTGAGTGTTAGTCAAAAGCGCAAGCAGTAGTATGTAAGAAATAAGACCCACGGTGCTTCTTCTTCTGTGACAGGCTCTGCTCGGCGATCTTGACGTATCGCTGCCTGGTCTGCAGCCTGTTCACTCCGCGCTCTGCGTCATGAGCAGAAGCGGCAGAGATCCAGACATTGAAGAACTGTGATGCTGTTAGCAAAGGTCACCAGCTGCAGCTTCAAGACTTTGGGCTTAACTCACCTTGGTAAGCTTTTCAAACTCCTTCAGGAGATCCTGCTCCTGGCGGTCGGCATCGACAAGTGCCTCTTCGTAGCGAACCTCGAACTTACCCCAGTCAAAAGGTGCCAGATTCCCAGGCATATCGGGCAATCTCTCCCCGGAGTCTTTGTGGCAGTGCGTTTGTGACGAGGGTTGAGAGTAAGGCGATGTGCTGGCTAAGCGAGTCAAGTTGTTGTGGGCGCTGCGACAGGCTCTTGTGGAAAAGCCCTTACTCATTTTTCGTGCTTCGACCCCGCTTCCAGGACTGGAAAGATGGTTAATGCCCATGATCAATCCCGAGGCCGGCTAATTGCTGTGCCTGCGACTCTGCAACTCCGAGGTCTTGAACTGTTGAGTGAAGCTGTCAACGACCTATGATATATCTTGATAGATTTTAAAACGAGATGGACGTTTGGGACTAGTTATGTGGTTTTGACGCGCGGGACTATGCTACGTGACGATATCACGGCTGTGGGTGGAGTATCGATACTGCAGGGTTTGATCAGCCTGCTGGTCCTGTCAGCTGATTTTGTAAGCCTTGGTTGGCGCACTAAATCTCTTGTACTAAGATGGTGGATTTCCACGTACATTCCGGCAAGACCAACACTTCATACTTGACTGTTGGTTGGACTTCCGCGAATTGCCCTTGCAACCTAAACCCCACCTTGCATCCCTTGAATGCGTCCCCTGAATGCACTGTTCGGCAGTCTCCCGTCCTTCGCCGCACTGGCAGGCGGGCGTTAGGACCTCTGGGACTCCCCGTGTAAACAGGCAGTCCCGTAGGCCTATTGCTCCCGTTTGGATCTGGATCAGCAGAACTTAGGGTTTCATCTCGGAACAGCGTCTCTCGCTGATGGTCAAAGTCGTCCGCCGGTCTGGTGATTGCTCTGCCGTCCCGTTCCTTTAGCCACCTCGCTCTCCAAGCGTCTTCCACTACCCTGTTTGTATCTACAGCTCCCCCAGTCCAGCGCTCAATCGTGCTTGCGGCGTTCTCCACCGCCGCGGCCTTCCGCAGCCCCGCGGTTCGCGGCCGGCCCCTGCTGCCGTTCCTCGAGCGGATTCTTCTCTGCAACTCCGAGTTCTCCCGCCGACCATTGTCGATTCGCCCCGCCCGCGCAAACCAACCTACCCACGACCTGGCACGCTAGCTAGCAAACAACCGCCTCGTTCAACCATCCATCCACCCGACCAGCCGAGGGTAAGGTCGCTTTCTTTCCGCGTTGCAATCGTCGCAGGTCGGCCATGCTTTCCCTACTCTGCCATTGCTTGAAGCCTTGCGCGTGCGGAACAGTCGGTAGTTAACTGACTATCCAACGGGCAGGCGGCGGGTACGCGCCGCCCAAGAGGATGTTCGTATTGGGTGATATGTCGTTCGCCGCGCACGCAACGTTCCTGAGAACTTCCCCGACATCGGGGCCCAGATTGTCGACCGCGGCATCTCAAACTTGCACCGCAAGAGCGTCTACCGCCCATTCCGCACCCGGACCGTGGACAAGATCCGGCTCGACTGCGCGACGCCGGCTCGTGCTTTTAGGTATTCAGGAGCCGCAGGGCTTTTAGGGGGCCAGTGTAGAGGAGATTTTTTAAGGCGGCCAAGGACACCGTCGACCTCGCTAGGAAGATGGATCTGCCGCGACAAGTTACCGGTATTATCTCTCGTTCTCTTTGTAGTTTGAACCACTGCCTTTGTTGGAATCTACTTCCTATATATCGACATTAAGGGGTAAATGCTCCCCAAGGAGGAAATTGACAGGCTTCTTGACGTGACTAGGTACGGCCCTATAGCAACGATTATTGATAACTACTGCAAACAAGCTGACATTCCGGTTGCCCGCACATTAAACGCAACTCCCCTTTGACTTCAGCCGCGCAACACACAAATTCTCGCTTCGCAGTCCTCCGTCGAGCATGAACGAAAAAGGCAACAAGTCGGTTCTTGGTCTTCCACACCCCTACTCCGTTCCCTCCAGGAGCTGTTGGAAGTCGGCATCCCTCTTCTCGTGGCGAGCAAGAATGATGCGCTCCGCTGGGTGTTCGGATACCAGCTGGTAATGCCGCGAGACGTGAATCTGGCCGTAGCGGTAGACCCGGCCCGCCACCTGCGCCTTGAGGGCTTCAGAGAAGGGCAGGTCGACCGAGATGCTGTAGGCAGCTCGTTGCATGCCGTTGACCCCCTCGCCGCATACTGACATCACCGCGATGAGGAGAGCGGGTTTTCTTGCTTCGTCGAACCCGACCGGCCCCAGTGCCTCGTCAATCAGGCTTTGGCGGTCTCGGCACGCGGCGGTCAAAAGTTGCACATCCCAGCTGCCGGCCCAATGCCTGTCCGCGTAAAGGGCGTAGAGCACGGCGATCCCAGGTCTCGAGCAGAACAAAACCACGGATTTTTTGACGGGTCCCTTGATGCGTTGCCATTTGTTACCAGGGGGGTACTTGAACCCAGGTGCCGGCATGGACTTGTCTCTGATGGCCGTATCCAGTATCCGCTCGATTTCAGTTGTCTTCGAGGTCCCCTTGCACAGATAGTCCACAGCCCCGGCGGTGGCCGCTTCGTGTTTGCGGCGACCCTCTGGCGTCAAGTAAACCAAGTGGTTAGCGTATTGCGCCTTAATCCAATGGTCCCACCCCTTTTGGATGGCGGCCAATGCTTCGGGGTCGACGTCCGTCATCTGCAGCTGAGACGGGTGGGTAAATGTCGCCCCATAGAGTTGTGAAAGGAATCCCCCGGTCTTGGTGAGCCGGTTGAATATGGTTGCCGCATCGAAGTCACCTACATTGTCCGGCGGAGAGCGGTCAGCGGCGAACCATAGCCACGAGATACGGAACCAAGCAAGACTTACCACCCTTTCCCCCTTGCTTTGCCGATCGGACAATGCTCGACCACGCGTCTTGTTTCGACGATCCCTGGGGTTTCTCACAGTCGATCACCCGACTCTTGTGAAGTGGCAGCGCGCACTCCAACCCCCCCAAGAAGCGCGACTGGACGGTGCGCCGAGTCATGAAGCCGGCAAGGAAGTCTTTCAACTCCCCAAACACCGCCTCGCTAGTATCATCTGCACCTCGCTGCGACCTTAGTAGGTCAAACACCAGCGTATCGAACCGGGCTCGGCTCAGGCCGGCGCGCTTCTGGTCGCCGGCACTGCTCCAGGATTCGGGCAGAATGAAGTCTAAAGGGACCTTGAGGCTGGCCTTGAGCTCCTTGGTGAAGGGGGTCGCACTCATGAACATGCTCACCATCTTCCCGGTGGGATGGCGCCGCCTAAACATTTTCATGCAGGTATACACGATCGTGTCTCCTCCCTTGATCCGGTGGAACTCATCCAGGATGCAATGCCGCACCCAAAATGGAGCTACAATCCTCACGTCAACCTTCCTCTGCCAGCCTTGTGCGGCGAGGGGGTAGGTCTTGGTGAGGCTACGCATGATGGCGTGCCTGGGGTCTAGGGATGACGCGTCAGAGGGTAAAATCAGGAGGAAGTGCCGCTCCTTGAAGGGGTACTCCTGTCGGTCGTCCAGATAGGAAACTGCCGAATCTTGAAGCCCTTCCGCGCTCTGATTCTTGTTCAGCTGGCCAGTGTTGATGCTGTCAAAACCGCTCATTTTCTTTGCTGGCATCCCTTTCCCCGCGCCCGACGATTTCTTGGCACGTTTGATCTTGTTACCGCCGTCGACGACATCATGAGCGAACAACTTCTCTTTTGTCTCCTTGTTGGCCTCTGACCGGATGACTTCGACGAACTCCCACTTGGTTTCATCTGGCAGAGTGACAACCCGCTCCAGAAACACGTCGGCGCTATTTTGGGCTCCCTGGACTGTGCTGTTCGGCGTGAGGAAGACCGTGATACCCGGAATCAGCTCCTGGTGGATCTTGGACATAAGCGAGCCGGATCGGCAGATGCAGTCGTTGTATCCGAAGCCTTCGGCCACCTCGCACGTGTCCGGGTCGCCCCGACAGACCAGTCTCATCAGATCCACCGTTCGCAAGACGGCGACGGTACCTAGAGCCACCATCGTCTTGCCGAGCCCCGTGTCTAGGGCACTGATATAGCCAGTTCGGCCCGTGCCGTACGTGGCATCCAGGAAGTGCCAAACATCCCGCAGCTGGCCGGGGCGTAGCGCCATCTTGGTGCCGAACAGCTTCTTCCCGCTATCCATCTCCCTACACGCTGGGTCGTGACGGAAGAAGCGGCAGGCCTCCGTCCATTCTTCTTCGGTCCCGCCAAGCGTTATAGAGCCCAGCGCGTCGGGGCCGTCGTTGGCCTCATGTTCATCATATGCAGTGGTCGGTCCACCAGGGTCAGATAGCGCCCCATCGTCCGGCTCCGTGTGAGCGTTGGACGAGATCGAAATGACGTCGTTGTCCCTTTCGCGTTCTTCGGTTCTCTTGTCGTGGGCGGCCGACCTGGCAGGGCTAAATGGCGCCCCCTCCCCCGGTTCGGTGTCGGACCGTATGCTGGGGGTAGTGTCAGTTGGTTGCGTGACGTAGCGGCACAGCAAGATATGATCCCCATAGTGAGGGTCTTTCTCCAGCCCCTCTTCGCAGGCGCTGTTGAGAGCCCGGCGAAGGAGGGGCGCAGTGCTCGCGTCTAGCCATCTCTGGTTGCCGCTATAGCGGCCGATTTCCACTTCGAGCCTTAAGGAGTCAAGGCATACGGTGGCTGAGCGGGCGTGACTCGGCGCTCTTATTCTCGTATCGTCCAAAAACGCTTCCTGGAGCGCCTCGAGAAGGGCGCCCGTATCGATGCGTTCCGATACGACGTCTTCCCTCTCGTCGTACCTCTCGCGGGTCAGCCACTGCGTCAGGATGCCGATGAACGTTGTACCGGATTGCAACTCCAGCGCAACACCAACGTTTCGAAGGCAAACCCTATCCTCGGGCACGCTAGAATTGTCAACCTGCTTTTGCCGCTTGGCAGGAGTCAAGGCCCAGAGCGCTGCAGAGCCCGGCTCAGACACACCGCGCTTTTTAGAGCTGCCATTTCCCGCGTCCTACTCGGGTATGTGGGAGTCTGATGGGGTCGGCATGGCTGACGGGCAAAGGAGTTAGCTTCAACCGTAGGTGGGGCGAAATCGGCTGGGCGTACCTGGGAGGCGGCTGCTACTGGAAAAAGCTTGGCGTCCCTCCAGAGATCGCTCAGGCTCGCTCGCCTCCATAGCGTGATAGACTTTAGGGAACTGGATCCGCAGGTGATTGGGTCAGTTCGCGGCCGCCGACCGGATATTAATCGTTACTTACTACGTTCATCGACAATCAACGACCGTAAGATGTATGGGCGGTGGTTGGTTAAATTGTCGGCGCGTAGCGCGCTCGGAATGTTGCACAAAGAGTTGGCGGCGCACCGAAGGAAACAAAAAAAGGAACAGAAAGAAAGGTTTGACAGGAGTTAGGGCGTTGGGTGTCCAACCTAGCCGGAGTCGAACTGGAACTATTTGGCGGTTAGTTCCCGGCATCAACGCATCAACGGAATGCTAAAGCGACTGGTTCTTACTATGTTCCGTCCCGAATAACTGTTTGAAGGGGCCGAGGGGGCTGATTGCACAATCTGGCTGGGGTCGGAAAACGGCCACGCGGTTGTAACGAAGAACGCGAGAAGAAAATAGAACTCCCCGCAGGAATCAGCACCTTCCCGGCTTGACCGGTTCGCAACACAACGCGGTCGACGCAGAAAATCGTTGGACAAGGTCGGCCGAAGGATCGGGAGCGGTCGGAGAAATGCGGTCGAAGAAACGCGCTTGGAAGACGAAGACAGAGCGAAGAAACAGGAGGTAGCGGGCCGCCAGGTTGTTGCGGCGCAAGGATCCTGTGTTCATGCTGCAGCACTGGGGTGAGAGGCAGGGGAGGCAGGTGGAGAGCGGTTGCCGGGGACGAGGAGAGGCTTTGAACTCAAATGCCAAAAGTGGGGCGCCTCCCGCGAACGCCACAGAGTTGTCCATCCTGGCACGTGCAGGAAACATCGAACTTCTACCCTCTGTTTTCCTACCAAAACTTTCATCTCTCCTATACCGAGCTGCGCCATTACTACCATTCTACCTTCGTACGTTGTTTCGTCAAGAAGTTCTTTTTCTCGATTTTTTCTGACCGATTTTGCAGAACCTAGCATTTGCGACGACCGATCGATCATCGAAATCCGCCACACCAGCCGCCTCGGCAGGAAAGGAGTTTTCGAAATGGCGACGGAGCGCACAAAGACCCCGCCCACAGGCGCACAGGCTAGCGCGCAGGCTGCACAGTCGAAGGGTACGCCAAATTAGTCAAACTGCAATTCTTCCTGAAATTGATGTTGCGCATACCCCTTTTATGGGAGCATTACTTTCTGACATCATAACTAACATCCTTGGTGAAGAACAGAGCCAGGCGCTACAGGATATGCATACAGAGGTTCTGTCGAAGACCCATGACCCGGGGAAGGAGGTCGAATTCCTCGGAGAGCACCTTCCCCAGCCCCCTGAGGTGACAGTCACGAGCAAACCTGGGATGACTATCACTAAGACTGTTTACCCGCCATTGCCCGATGGCCGGTTCGGGAAGACGGTGATCCACTTGCAATCACACCCAGAGCAGGAAGGACACCACGGAGGGTAAACATTGGGATTATCAGTAAAGTGTAGTTCGCATCTTGCTTCTTTGTTGCCAGGCTTGCGCTTATTAACTCGGAAGCAAACTGGGACCTCCCTCTTACCCCCCCCTACTACTTAGATAGCGGCTCACCAAGCTTAGCATTCCGCCCTCGTCGCCGTTCATTCTGCTTCTCATCGGCAAATTTCCGCACCGCATCCTCGTAGAAAGTCACCCTACGCTCGCCGGCCCCCGACTTCCGTTGCTTTGTGTGTAGCTTGAGGTGAGCCATGTAGTTATCCCGCCGGTTGGCAGCATGGTTGCAGAACTGGCAAGAGAACGATACCCTATGATGCTCGCTGAGCCAATGTTAGTCCTAGCTGGGGATTTTCTTCCGTTTGTTTGACTTACCTCTTAATATGCCGTTTCACGTGCTCATTCCTGCGGTACGATTTGACGCATCCTTCCACGGGGCATTTGTATGGTTTTGCGGGCCTGACATTGTCTAGGGTGAAGGTGCTGTCGACTCCCCCCACTACGCGACGCTTCTTTTCTCTCTCGATCCCGGCCCGCCCTGAGCACCGCTGTAGTTGTTGGGGTCCTGGCGCCCCATGCCGCGCTCGCCCCACCAAGACGCCCTCCATCGAACACGGAGAGGGGGTCAACGGCATTGTTATGCTGTCGTCATTTTGCTTGATTGGCTCAGTTGTCCCGACGAGCGTCGTAGAAACCTGTTGGTCGGAGCTGACGGAGCTGTCCGAATACAGCTGATGGGCCACAATGTCGGACACGTGGTCGAAGTGTGTTGTTATAACGGGAGGGGTCAATAGGTGAGAGCCGCGACTGAGGCAACCGGCAAGGAGCGTGCAGTCTATGGTGTGTGAAGGAGTCAGTTGAGTACCGTAACTCCCAAGGGATTGGCCGAAAAAGTCACCCCGCTCTCCCGAAGGTGTGACGGGAAAAACAGGATAGACCGGGTTGGAAGCGTTGTCGGTCTTGGGCGCCGTCAGGAAGGAGGGGAATGTAGCTAAAGAAGCGGGCGTGAGATCAAGCGGGACCGCGCCGACTAACGAGGCGAAGGAAGAGCCGAAATCGAACGAAGTTGAAAACGGCAGACCCGAATCATTGGAGGCTGACATGCGTGCACCGAGGTTTGACGGAGCGAAGCAGGAACCAAAACCAATCGAATAAGGTGTCGGAGTTGAATGGCCAGAAGTTGGTGGTATGTCAGGATTGAAGTTTGCCGATGGTGCTTTCAGGTTTTCCGCCTGGAGATTGCTGAAATCGAAATTGTCAACAACGCCGGAGTCAGGGGCTATGTTAAAGATCGACGAACTAATGAGTTGCATCCTGCTTCCGGCTTCAATCAAGTTGCTGCGGCAAATATATATGAGCGGAATACTGGGCTAAGATGGACGGTAACTTTGGTTCTGAGCTGCGGAAGAGATGGGAAAACTCTCGTAGATAAGTAGATAGAAACAAGGGAGGTCGCCAGAGACCCGGGGCAATGTCGCAGCTCAACTTGCTTAAAAGGGGGTTCATTCAATGATGATCCTCGTCGGAATATACTCTCACTCAGGCAGCCGAGGGATGTTCAGCGAAAGGGCCGTGCGGAGGTCAGAAATCCTTCAGCGCCCGATGCTGACCACGACCCAAAGGGTGTCCCTAATTCGGCAAGGTCGATCAGACTGTTCACCACAGCGGCAAAGGGCAGAGTTTTCTCAATCATAGAACGCACTTACCGCCCACCTTTCCGAGACATCCGTGAACAGAATGGCTGAGTAGCCCCCGTAGCCGCCTAGCTCTAAGATGAGCACCCTTTGGTCCGATGTTCAGATCTTTTTTGGTATTCTTTTTTTCATCATTCGGATCTCCAGCGCTGAAAGAGTCGATGATCTACATGGCTGGGAAAACAAGGGCGGGTAATATATGTGGTATATCTATAAATGTAAGGGATCGAGCGTCGGTGGGCTGAGCTTTGCAAGGTCCGAAGCCGGGAGCCGAGTCGGCTGTGTCGTAATTGACAATAACTATCGCCCAACAACAGTTAATAGGACGTGCTTCGGCGACCGATGCACCTACCCGCAGCGGCAGCTAGCAGGGTGCGGAATCGTGATTCTCGCGCCATCCAATGGCTTGTATCAAGGGATCGTCTACAGTGATTGAAATTCTGATGATAGTCCTAAATTGCGGCGCCACGCGCTATAATGTCTCCCTATTGACCGGCGTAGGGATGTAAAGATCGAAGAATAAAGGAGCTGGTAACCCCCAACGCCACAACGGCAACGGCCCGCTATGTCACAGTGGAGGTATGGGCATCAACGAGCTCAACATTGCGAATCAATAGTGGCGGGATGGCACGCATGTGCGCAGGCTGAGTCTTTCTCTCAAGGGAGGTCGAGGGCAGATGTCGAGAACCAGCCGCTCGTCTGCAACAACATGCTGGCGGGCGGCGTTGGAGGGTTCCATAGAGAGGATTTATAGGGCCGAGGCCGAGCGTCGCCAAGCCCGTCGGCTTGCTTCCAATCTGCTTGGCTAATCAAACCCACAAAGGTGGGCCTTTTTGTTCATTCAGCAACACTGTCCGCGCGGTGAAAGGTATCTGGCTGGCGCCCGCCCAGAGTTCCTCTATCAACCCCAACCCAGATGCTCTACAGGTGCATGGATTTCATAGCGGTCTTGCCGTATTAAAAGCATTCGTAAAATTTATCTAAAGACACCTTCTATTTACAACATGGCCCACAGGGATGCCGGCGCCGCCCGTCAATGATTACGGTTTACACCGCAATCACGGGGCACTGTGAGATGTGGTTTCACGGTCCAAGTCCATACATCATTGGGACTGATAGCAATAACCCACAACCAATCGCTCCCGAGCTCCGAGCTCATTGCGGGGTGTTCCCTCAGGTGCCACCAGGCAGCTCCCTCACAAAGCATGATGTCAACTTCAAACTCTTCGCCGGCGCATCGCTCGCAGACCGACTGCCAACCCGGCACTCCACAGGCGCTCACATCGTGTTCGTCACGGGCGCTCCAGTCATTTAGAAGACCAAAAAGTAGACCTTCGTCGCCCTTTTCTGCCACCCATCTGCAGCTCTCCGAACCGCAGCCTCCGACAAAAACAAATAATACAACCACCATCCCATCCCTCGCCAACGTTGCCGCCCTGCCTGTCCACCGACAGCAACGGTTACGAGCACGCGATTAGGTCTTAACGTTAATTGCTCCCATCACAAGCGCAGAACCGGAGGAGTATGGCTGTGAGATGGCGCTGCTGCCGCGGTTTGTGACGGCTCCGACCGCCGCGTCGATGCTGTTTTATCGGACGGTCACTTAACCAGATCCGGGCGAGGACGTGGGCTGCGATGGGGTCCATGCAGGGTGACCATGCGGATGAAGATGAGGGGCTAGAGCTGGCTCGACACCTCCTGCGGCTATCAATGGCCAAGTCCAGAACGAAACCGCTCATGACGCCCGTCCTTGCCGAGGGGGAGATGCCAGTTATAGCGCCGACACCATTTCGGAACCTCCTCTTCTCAATACCCGTCGTTTTGACTTTGCAGATACCCTCCCCTCTGGACCTCTTCCTCAGCTAGACGGACTTACAGACCTACAGCAGCGTGCAACGCCTGGGCCACGGCGAGTGCAGCCGTATTTTTCCTTGGCGAGATCGGGGGATCCCTCCAAATGGAAGTGGTTGAGGGGCTACCAGACGGTTTCCATCGGTGGTTAACACAGCCAAGCAAACCCCAGCCCAAGCCAAGCCGCGGGTCGCCCCCCTCAGGACGAAGACACCAACATGCTCGACGACGACGTCTGGCTCGCCGAGTCCACCACCTCCTCCCCTCCCCCGTCCACCACCTCGCCAACCGACCAAACACGCCCTCTGTACGACCACAGACTCTCGCCACCGCCCACCGCGTTTACCTCCGTACCCTGATCCACCGCCTCTTGCTCACCTAGCAATATTTCACCGACCCGCTATTGTTATCTTAGAAGCACGCCGATCAACCCCCGCGAAAGTTCACGAACGAAGACGCAAGTGGGGGTTACTTATGAGCCGCTCGGTGCCCCGCTTCCCACCGGATCCCGCGAGCGAATCGCGTGTATACCCGGCCACAAAAAGCTCTTATACTTGTCAAGCGCCACCGTCGCTTCTCATACCTTTCCACTTCACGAGTAGTTCCAGGCCGTCATCATCCATCTTCCAGTGGTCATAATCCCGCTCTCTAATGAAACTGCTATAGCACCTCAAAACATTTCCCAAATACGCAGCAGGCTCCCAACTGTTGCGCTCCTGCTCATATCCTTCCTACATCTAATGACCTCAGTTCTAAACCCGCGTCACCCAAATAATCCAGACGTGCAAATCAGCTGAAGGGAAGACGTAGAGGGCAGTCTTAGTTCGATGGAGTCGGAGATGGGCCATGGATAAGACGGGTGTTGCATTGCAATCTGCCGAGAAGCGAATGTCAGCATCGGGGAACCAGGGAATCGGCTTGCTGTTCACCGTTAGATGGGGAGATGGGTCCTGACCTGTTTTTGTAGTTTTGTTTTCAAACTCTTTTTTTTTTTTTTTTTTTTTTTTTTTGGCTTTCCGAGTTCAGTGGTGCTTCTGAATACGTGTTCATTGCTGCTTGGCCGTGGAATCGGCAACTCTGGATGTCACAGGTTGACCGATTCAAGTCCGTGGGCGACGCTGGTTTGCATTCCGACCATTGCAAAATGGCGAGATTAAATCTCGTTCAAAATCCGAGCAATATCCGCCTCGACGTCCCAATTGTCAATGAGCTCCTCGAGAGTGGGTGCATAGATTTGACCATCATTCATGTCGAGGGCATTGTCAACTAGGGCCACGATCTCCTCAGCCGGTGCCTCCTGGACGAGAGTGGTCTCAATGGACTCGTTGGCGCTAGGCAGTAGATGGTAGGGCGTCCAGCCGGGTTGCACAACCGGGGGCAAGAAGCGCTGAGCACCGGGAAGTCGACGGGTGATATCGCTATCGGGTCTGATACCCGCCTTGTCGTTGTTGGCTTGAGCGCTGTAGTGCGCGCTGTGCTCGAAACCCTGAACACGGGGAGGAGAGGCAGACTGGGAATAGTAAGGTTGAATCGGGGGGATTTCAGTAACGTCGGACGCCCGGCGAGTCGCACGCCGGCGAATCTCAGACGGTTTGCGAGGCGCATATCGGTAGTTGGGGTGAAGCGCCAGCATCCGAGCCTTGATCTCCTTTGATTTCTGGTGGTATTTATCCCGAACCTCAGGGGTCTCGCTCTTCCACATGGCGCCCGTGATGACCGCTGTAAAGTGTGAGCTCACGGATCATAAAACATCGCACACCTGACTTACAAATCTCATTGTTGTGGAGGTCAGGGTTCTCGGCCTTGACGGCGCAGTGCTTGTCCTTGCGGTAGAGAATATACGCATTTGGGGGACGGGGAATCTTGATTTTCGGAGGCGGCATATGCTTCTTCTTCGGGTCCCAAATTGGAACAGTGCCGACGATGGTGATGTTTGGGCGGATGAGTTTCTTGGGGCCAAGAATCCAGACCTTGGGATTATCGGCGTCTCGCGCAAACATCACGTCCTCGCCCAGAAACTTGCTATATAAATGGTGAGCTGAGATCGCGGTAGGCAAAATCCCGGCGCGAAGAACTCAAACTTACCTCATCTCGCGAGCGAGCTCGATCTTGACCGAAATGTGAATGAGGCGGAACATCTCATCATCCATGATGATAACCTTCATGGGGTTCCAATGTCCCAGCTGAATGGCGAAGTGATTCCAATACTTCTGGCCGAAAACTTTGGCAATCGCGGGGTCGGGCGCCTCGAGCGAAAAGTAAGTCGTCATGTCGGCGGTCATCATGTTGGTCGCCATTTCTACTGGAAGTTGCGTCGATGCTGGATTGATGGCAATTTGAAAGTCTGGGATGAGAGGAAAGGAGGGAGAAAATGAGGGTGAAGGGTATGAAAGAGAGGAAAAGAGAGCGGGGCAGATGCGGGCTCCTCGGTATTCTTTGTTTATTCACTCGCAGCCACAATGGCTGTACTCAAGTTTCAAGTCTATTGACATACTTTAACTATAGGCTACTCTGGTGATACGCGGTAGAGTACACCAAGTTTCTCAACATACCGGATTCCTTCCATAGTGATTCCCCATCTTGAAGTGACCGGAATATCATGTTTGATGCCTTGTGTGATGGTTGGATTTCAAAATATCCCCGCGAAACATACGACGACGAGCCAACCGGTTTACACCACCGGTAACTGATTGTGTTAAGTGGAGCAAACATTCTCTGGTCCCACTCGGCGCCGTCATGGCCCTGGGCCCGTCCGCAATATCCACCTCGGCAACTACACCTGTCTGGTCAGCTAACATATACAGATCAAGGCACTCCTCCAAAACTGGCAGCACGTCGTCAGGAGCACATTTTTATACAGCGGGAACGATCACACCTACTGGCCACGATCTGTTCTTCCTAGACCCCGTATTGGTAATCGACGAGCCCATACCGCTCGATACTATCGCAGAGGCTCATCAGGCCCTCCCCATTTTCTTCAGTCCATCTGGCGGGACTAGGGCTTGCCCGAGTTGAAGCTGCTGGCCTGATCGTCAGATGTAAGGCCTGGGCATATGCGGTCAGCCACGTTCCATTCTGTTGCAAAACACATACCTAATTTCTTCACATACGACAGAAGCCATTTCGAAACCCCAAGGAGGGAATCGCTAGCCGTCGCCAGCACACCATCTTGTATGTTTCGGAATATTTCCTGCAGTGTCGACTGGTACCGTGCGTACGCGTCGGCGAGGCCTACCGCATCAGCGTACTTCTTCATGGTGTCAGGAGCGGTTTGCGTAGTCGCTGTAGGCATGCTGCCGGCAGAATAGCCACGAAACCCAGCTTGTTAAGATACTTGGGGTGCTAGAGGATCCTGTCTGGGCCTGCAAATTGAAGGTGGTCCCCGTGCAGGCAGGCTGCCCATGGTCCGCCGTAGCGTAACGGTAGCCCGGCGTCATCATTGTTGCCGAAGGGCCTCGGTACGTGCTATACCCAGTCAAGCTGCCATCCACCAAGGTGTCTCTGGGGGCCACATGCTCTTGGACAGGCCATGAGTATGTCAAGAAACCCGGGGGCTACCATTGGTCCCTGATCTGCGCGTTGTCGGACGACCTTACCGGTGATTGCATGGGGGGTTGTATCCAGGCGACGGGCTGCCTTGCGGAGCTGGTGCGCAGAGGGACGCAAAGGTTGGCCGAAGGCTCCGCAGAGCGGTATCCCCGGCGATACGCCTCCCGGGACGGCCGATACGGCAACAAAGGCAGCGGACGGAATATGCAGTCGATCCGAAGCTTCTTTCATCTTGTGCATTTTCCGGTCATTGTCTTATACCCGACTTTCCGTGCCCACTCCTCGTTCCTGTCTATGCACGCGCCGGTGGCGAGACGCTCTAGACGCTCTCCAGAGATTGATTGTCGAGAGAATACTGCCTATCCCGCCGCCGCTCGTGCAGCCACTTCCAAAGTTCAACCTCGAAACTAACAGCCATACAACCCAAACACTGGACCAGAAGTAGACTTTCCCAACGACGTATAGCGCCTACAGTCGGTAATAGGAGTGTAAGGAGGTTGGACGCAATCCCCGAAATAGCTCGCGGTAAAGGAATTGTTTTCCCGCCGAGGTACACCTCAACAACAACAAAAACAACCCAACAGGCATGGAGACTCACTGGTGCAGCCTGTAGAAGATACGGAAAGTCGACCGCTAAGTCGGACCCCCTACTTGGCGGCCCCCCCAACTTTTCGTTATTCGTGTAAGCCATTGATACCCAACCTCCCTAACAACTTCAAACAACAACCACTTTACCAATTCAATTCCTTTACACTTCCTGTTTTGCATACTGATTCATTATTGCGAAATGCCCAACTACACTGAACAACAACTTCAACAGGCCCTTTTGCACTTGTAAGATGGCCGTACACTGGCTTCGGTTTCGAAAGATTGGTCCATTCCTAGGTCTACTTTGCAGAGCCGTTTGTAGGGCAACCAACCACGACTGGAAGCTTACGAAAGTTATCAAAGGCTTTCCAGGGTTTAGGAGAGCCGTTTAGCCGAGTGGGTTCTTACCTAGAAAGCCCTGGGTGTTGCACCTACCCATTCGCAAATCAAGGAGTTGGCCCAACGGATTCTTCAGGCCCGGGGAGACTCAACACCTCTCGGAAAACGTTGGGTAACCCGGTTTATCAAACGGTCTCCGGTTCTTGGAACTAAGAGGGCCCGGGTAATGGATCACACCCGTGTCAATGGAGCTACTACCAAAGTAATTCGCGGTTGGTGGCCAAACCTGGCCATCCTAGCTATCAAGGCTATTAAACTAGCCAATAGGTGGAATATGGATGAAACTGGTGTTATGGAAGGTATGGGAATGAATGGCCTGGTTGTTGGAAGGAGGAATAAGAGTGCTATTTTGAAGAAAGCCCCTGGTGGATCTCCTTCATCGAATGCATCTCGGCCACCGGCCAGTCGACTACTTGTGGACGGGGGATCTAGATAAGTCTATGGATAGAGGGTGCGGGCAAATGCGGAGAGCGGAACGAAAGGCGAGCGTCGGGCCGATCAGAGCATTGAGAGGTCCGTCTTTCGCCTCCACCCCTTCGTCTTTGTCCTTCTTGTCCTCCTTGTGCTCTCCCCTCTCCGCGAGCAAGCGCTGTGACAATGGGAAGACCTGATCTCGGAAATGGTGGCGACAGACAAACGGCGAGCCCAGAGACATTCCGCAAGCTAGCAAGCCATGCAGACTGAAATTACAGGGTTCGTAAGCTACTGTAGTATTAGCCAATGATATGGTGTGCCCTCCTTGTCAAAGGCTTTCTCATGGTTTGTGGCGTTGTCCACACGACCCGCCCCCTAGTTGTTGTTCATGGATCAGCAATATGCGCACCATTCCCCATGTCAATCGTGTAGAACTGGTTGCCAGGATTGGTCTGGTTGCCGAGGCTCCCATTGCATTCGCCCTGGGGGATCTTATCCAACATCGCATCGAGCTCAGGATCCTCGTTCTGAACCGCGAAGAACGGGTCGGTTGCCGCAAGGTCAGGAAGCTGGTGAACAGTGACACCCTGGGTGATGAGAGGGTGGGTCGTGGTGACCTGAAACAGCGCCGACATGGCCATATGTGGGTTATACTTCGCAAACTGGTAGAATCCCTCCATGGTGTTGTGGGGATTCACCACTGGCCCCGTCTGTGTGTTGACGCAGATAACATCGTTGCTCAAAGCGGTGAGTTTTGCAATGATCGGAAGCCGGTTGGTAACTGGCAGGCCGCCGTTAAGGCAGTTTATAAACAGGCCAAGTCCGTTCATCGGCTGGTGACAGCTCTGGATCCCTCGAACTGCAGTGCGCTCGAGCTTGTGTGTGCCGTCGTCGTGCTGGATTAGTTTCCAACCTAGGGCCACCAGGTAGCTCTCGCGGACAACAATCCCCATGTGCTTGATGGCAAACTGAATCCAGTTCTGCAGCGTAACGTTCTCGCCCGACAGAAACTCTCGGATCGCCGAATACACGGCACACATAAAATCCCACTCCTTGTGGAACGGGTCCTCTTTCCAAAGTATCGTCATGATAGGCGACTTCTCTTTCTGCGTGAGCTGGGAGAAGAGCCACGAGTAGTATGCTAAGGAACGTTAGAATGAGCCACGAAATCGTAATTTACCGGACTTACCACGATAACCCATAAACCCGTTGACCTTCTTCTTGGCGGGTTGCCGCTGGTTTTCGGTGCGCATCATAGTTGAGAGTGCTTTCATGGTCGTCTCGCGATCTCCTTCAGTAAGGCCTTTGAAGGTTTGGATGATCTGGTTGATGTCCGCCATTGCTGGTCAATGGTGCAGTGTGTTGTGGTGTTGAGGGTCGAAAAGTCGATTGTTTTTGAATGGTTGAAGCTTAGCGAAACTTTAGTCCCAGAGGAATGCAAGGAGAAAAAGCACCAACGTTTGGTTGGAGGCTAAAGATCAAGCCGGTTCGCTTACCCAAGACGATATAGGCTTTAAGTCAGTCCCTTTGTCCATTTCTCCCTCGGTATTAAAATTGGTGTGGCGGGTATATCTTCAGCACGCTGATCTAGCGCGAGAAGGGTGACAATGATATCTGTAGGCGGCAGAACAAAGGCAGTCTGGAAGTGTAGGACCCCGCATGTGGGGCCTTGCTATGAGTCTTAGCAGATCAGCTTGGAGGCGTTCTCCAAGTGTTCAGCGTCCTAACTTCAGCAGCTAAAGCGGGACCTGCTGGTTGAGGCTGCGTGGTGTTGTTAGTCGAGTCCTTCCACCGCGATTGCTCCATTATCTCCTCCACGTTCTATCCCAGTCTTCCTGTTGGCATTGCGTGTTTGATCGTTGCTTGCACTTCCTTCATATGTGACCAACGCCTTGGCTCCGATGGTGCTTTTCTTCCTAGTACTCGTCTTGCCACTGAGCATTGCAGTGCAAGCATGGTAACTTGGGATGGGCGGCCTTGCGGACAATTATGTAACTACCTAACCAAGCGACAGGCTCTGTTCCAGCAAATAGAAAGTATATTACAACAGGATATTACGGCAACCGTACCTAGGATTCGGATAGAGCAGCGTTTGGTGTTGAACGTAATGCTAATGATATAGTCCGCAATCTAGCAGATATAAATTTTACATTTAAGCCCGATATTTGGTGATGCGGCCCGACGCCACCCTTGATCCCCTAGAGCCATTGCGTTTTTTTGCGTAGAGGGCTGACAGACGCTGTAACAACGAAGCAAGGTACCCTGAGAACCTCTTCGTCTTGTGGAGATCAATCCTCGTTTTGTCTCGGAGCGTATAGGTGCGGAACTCCTCAAAAGTGCCCCACGCTTCGGCACGTTTGCCCGTCCGCCGCGCATCTATGAGGTCGACAATGTTGACGAGCGTATTCTTCAAGTTTTCTTGCACTCGGTGGCCGAATCGCTCGGTTCGATGCCGACCTCGTGACATAGGGCTTGGTAACCTGGAGCGTTTTCTCTTCTCCGCCGAGCTCTTCTTCGTTGACGTCGTCTAGTTGTTGCGGCAGCGAGAAGTAGTGGAGTTCCAGTTTCTCCCTTATCGCGATGGTGCGCTGTCGGGTGTATTCCGAGGAACCGGGAACCCACCGCTGGGATGAGGCGACGCAGGCGAACGAGTCGTCAAAAGATGCCGCATCGTTGGGCGTGAAACGCTCAAACTTGGCGAAGTGGGACTGCGAGGCGGCGGGGCCCCACCGTGTCCCTCGTTCACGGAAAGATTGGAAGTGGTTTACTTGAGACCAAATGGCGTCGTGTGGTTCTCTTGGGCCCATGTCGGATTTTTCACGGGAGCCAATAGGTTCTACCACACTGTATTACACAGCAAAGCCTGGGAGTTTCTCACGCCGGAGCTCAGGTAGGTTTCGTCAAAGGGGGTTAAGGTTGTATCAGCCCTGCAGGGATCTTGCGCTTTGGTCCGGTTCGACGGATGACATAATTCCCAACAGATTGTCATTATAAGAGCGACAGATGGAGAGAGGCGCTGCGGGCTGGAAATCAGTTTGCACTGGACCGATTTCCGAAACTGAATTTCATCCTGCAGCACCCGAAAGTCGCTGCGGAGTTAAATGGACCGTCATAACTCCGTCATAACTGCCCCAAAACCCCGAAGGGTTTTTCTGTACTCGATCTCAAACGAAACGCAGAGGCTCTAAAGCCTACCAATCCCGCTCGCCGTCGAACTCGAGACAGTATTTGCGGCCCTCCGCTTCTAGGAAAATGGGGACATCGGGGATATCCTCTCCCAACAAAGCAATCCCTGCCAAGTCTGGGGCATTGATCTCAGCATTCAACGCCTCGAGTCTTGAGAGACCCAAGAGGTCATATTCCGGGCAAGGAATCTGGTTGATCACAATCAGCTTCACACTCAAGCCCGTGGATGCCCAAAGATGTGACGTACCTCACTCATATCCTCCAGACACAAGATCGCTGCCTCCTCGGTTCTCTTCCAGCCCCTGAAATAATGGGACAAGCGGCACTGGACTCTTCTAGTCCTGGCCTGTTTTCGTGTCAGTACTTGCCTTTCCGCTAAGATAGAATGTACCCACGGCTCTGATGGCCTCCGGGAGACGTGGTCCAGGGAATCGGAGAAACTGTTGGATGATGTCAGTATACTGAATAGCTTTCTTCCATTATTAGTAACTCACTCTCTCAAACATTTCGCGATAATTATCATAATCGCGGCGGATCTCGGGTTGTACCCAGGTAATGGTAGTCGGAAACATGAGCCTGAAGTACGGTTGCGGCTTGCGCTCCCTGAACAACTCTGGTCTCACTATCGGGCCTGGCTGGAGGTTTCCAAAGAACTTGTGCCATGGGTTGCCTGGAACATGCCTCAACGGATGAACCAAGCTCTCTGTGTGCCAGTACTGAATCAACCTCTCCGTCTCCTCATTATCGTCCGCTGGGTCGGGGACGTCGCTCTGCTCAACATGGCCGTACTTGTGGAGAAGAAAGTCGCCATAAACCTTGACGTCCTCGTTGTAGATGAGGCCACAGTCCCTGCCCGGGTAGGTTTCGGCTGTCTTGTAAAGCAGAAGAGTGGCGAGAAGCTCCTTCACTAGCGCTTGGGATTCCTTAACTTGTTTTTCCAGAGATTCGTCCCCTCCCGAAGCAAGTCGAGTCCTTCTCTGTTGAAAATTGAGAAACTCGAGTATGGCGTTTGACGCCGCGAGAAAGTGACAAACGGTCTTGACCACAGCAGGCTGATCGACGATCACCAGCGAAGGAGATTGTGCGACCCTTTCGGTGGTTACCAAAAATAGGCTGGCCGTTTGCAAGATGTCATCGAAGGAGTTCTCAAACGTCTCAATTTCCGTTGCAATAGCGGAGCGAATGTATTGAGCTTGTAAACGCAGAACAACCTGAGAATGAGAAGTTGACTGTGTCAGCAAAGTCCTTAAAGTCTACCCAATTAAACACTCACTTGACCAAGTGCGTGGCGATCCATTTGTACACCGCGGGATTGGAAAGATCGGTTGATGAGAAATAAAAGTGAGGGTAGCACCGAGGGAATTCAAAGCTTCGAGGGAGCTCGTCCCGGTGGTACCCTAGAGCTAACCGATTTACTTTGCCTGGAGGAACATTTATGCCTGGAGGAACATTTATGTTCCGAAAGGTTCCTTTTCCGAGAAAAACCATGACCATAAAGATGGCTTGCTCAAGCACGGACCAAATCCCCATAAAAAACCCCATAAAAAAATCCGTGCCGTTTTCCCCCGTATACTGTGAAGTTTTTACTGCCATTATCCTAATGATTGTGGAAGGAGCCATCTTGTTTTGCGTGGAGGAAGTTGTCTCTGACGATGAGCGTCTCGAAGTTGGGCTTGGCAGTGGTGGTGCACGGACGGTCTGTTAGGCCGGTCTCCCTGAAATTCAACTGTGGGGCTGGCCCCGGTTTATAAGGACCAATGAGATGGCGCACCCCTCGGTAGCTTCACCGACAACCACGAAAGGATGCAGATTGCAGGCCAACAAGGTGAGAAGGAAAATAAAAATATCAATTGGAAGTAGCTTATTCCGCTAGAAAGTCGCTACCAGAACAGAGCTACGGCAGAGAGGCGTGCTACGATCCGAGCTCGGAAATCCCAGGGTCTCGCCAGAGCGCCGCGTCCTCTACGTCATCGGTTTCAGTACCCTGCCTAGATCCAGGCATGGCCTCCCATTCCGGAAACCACGACTCGTGCCTATGGTCTGTTTCGAAGCGCCGTCTGGTCTCCTCGCCCCGTCGTTCCAGCTTGAGGATGGCGTCCCTCATGTCTTTGTCGAGCACGTTCTTCGGCTCGATGAAGTCACTGCGCGCCGGTTTCCGAAACAGATGCAGCCCGTCCCAGCTCTGCGCTCTCGACAGCTGCACGTACAAGCTCATGAAGCTCGGTCGAGTCGCCGTACCGCTCGAGTGGACGCCTTTGAGGTTGACGAGCACGTCCGAGAACTGCTTTCCCTGGCTCTTCTGATCCGTCATGGCGAAGGCCGGCGTACAGAGAGGCCCTGTTCTGTGGGTGACCCACCGAAAACCCGGCTTGCCCCTCGATCTGTTGTCCTTACCCCGCATTTGGCTCGGAATGGCGACCGTCTTCCTCTTGATCAAGATGGTGCCGTTGGGGAGCCCGGGAATGGCGAGGCCCGCGCTATCATCCGACTCCAGGAGGACGGCCACCGGGGGTCCGAGATGGAGAGTCACGTCGCTGGCGAGGGCGATGGTGCCAGCGGCGAGATCGGGGAAGATGTCTACCGCCCGGAAAGGCGCCCCGTTGACCACCTTCAGCCCGACGAACTGGTTCCGCGTCACCACGACTGGCATCCCTTGCGTGTAGAAGAATAGGCCTGGGGTTGGAAGCTGCGAGTCGTCTCCGTAGCGAAGCACGCGGCACAGCTCTTCCGCGCTCAATCGCTTCCCCGACTCGGTGTCATGCTTGGCCACGAAGATGGAGATGTGCTTGCTGTGAGCACGGGCCCATTGAACAACGGCGGCCATGTTGAGGTCCCACCGGTCTTGGTTGAGGGGCGTGATGGCTCTCAGGCCATCTACGAAGGAGGACTTGCACGACGGTGTATAGAGGCGTTGGCTCAGCCGGTGGAAGTCCTGCTCGGTCTGTTCGCCACTGCGCAGGCGCCGGAGGAAGCCCCGCAGCCTTGGACAACCGGCCGCGCGGACCTGTTCGCGGAGGATGACGACGTTCGTGAACTGGAGGAACAGCTTATGCGCTGCTAGGTGCTTTGCCGAGCTGTCCGGTCTCTGTCCGCCGCGGTCCCTAGGCGTTGGCAAGAGGAGGCTGGTCTGCAGGACGGGGTCGAACTGGAAAAAGTCACCAAAGAACATGACCATTGGGATCCCGCCAAACGGTCGATGCTGATCATCCCTGTACTGCTTCAGGCGGCTGTCCACCGCCGCGAGCGTGAGACCGCCCACCTGGCTGATCTCGTCGATAACCAGCATGATCATGTTTTTCCACCGCAGCTTCTCTTCTTCCGAGACGTTCTTTGCTGTCGCTGCCCTGCCCTCGAACGCAATGTTTGCCGCCGAGTGTAGCGTCACTCCGCCGATCAGCGCAGCCGCGTTGCCGCTGGCGCCCGTTAGGAGCAGCGTGTGGAGGCCACTTTTCAGCCGGAACATGTCCTTGATGGCGTGTATGGCGCGGGACTTGCCTGTGCCGCCTTCACCGCCGACGTACTGGAAGTGCTGCCGACCCCCCTCTTCCTGCAGTCGCGTGCCGCGCTCGTCGAGGAATGCCGCTGGTAGTAACACTGCCATCGACTGGAGCTTGTTCAGAGTCCAGTGCCTTGTGAGGCCCAACGCCACATCGACGTGTGTTGCATAACGGCCGAGTTCCAGCCTCATCTGTCCCCCCGGACCGACCCCGTTGGCTGATCCTTCACCTCCGTGAACGGACCACCGTGGGTTCCCGTGGGGCTCGCCGGAATGCGCAGAAGACGGATTCATTTGCTTGCCCTGGATCTTCGCCGTCACGCTGCTGTCCTCTTTCTTCTGGACCTTCAATACTGCGTCGATCTCCTCGCGGCTGGGAAGTCCCATGCCTCGGAAAGGCGAGCTTTGCAGATCCTGCAACATGGTATAGAAGTGGCGACCGCGTTGGGCGGCAGTGCTGCCGTCCTGGCTTGGGTCAACTGCCCTCGCCTCTTCGTCCAAGCGCCTCAGGGCCGAAGTCGCTGTCATATCCCTAATCTCGCTGCCTTGAACCGTTGAAAGGACATCCAAGAAAGCTTCGTAATGGTCCTGTGGATCGATGCCCCCAACATCCGGTCCGACGCCGTCATCGTCCCCCTCCCGGTCGTCAAAGTCAAACCCGTCGACGACGTCTTCGTTTTCCTGTTCTAGCCCTTGCAGCTTTCGGTCAGCACGGGCATCGTCCGCCGAGACGCGTAGCAGAGCGATGTTCTGGACGTGTGAGCGGATTCGGGCGCCCAGCTGCCCCTCGAGCGATCGCCAAAGTCCTGGTATATCGTCCGCCGGCTCAGCCTGAAACCTTTCCCATGGAACGAAGAGCGCAAGGTGCAGAACTGCGTTTCTGTATGTGACATGTAAACCCTTTCCTTTTACGCCAAGAGGATCCTGCTACTTACCTTCTTACAAATTTCTCGTCCTGCTCTTCGAACTCGTCTGTGAGGCGACCATGAAAGACGGGGACTGCTGTCCCGTTAGGAGTTCGGAGGCATTGAATCCATCCTTGGCAGACTGTTGCCGATGGTGGAAAAGGAACCGAGGTCGGGTCTCGCCGGTGACAATGCTCCTTTTTCAGGACCACAAAGGATACGTAGTCATAGAAACAGAGGTGCTCGAGGATCGGCCCGCGGTGCTTGTACGCTTCCAAATAAGAGAGCTTGAAGCCGCTTTCTCCGAAGTAGACATTGTTTGGGTACGGCTCTTCACCAAGGTTCGCCAATGCTTCTCGCAGACCAGGCCACTGTCTAGCACAGGCCCAGTACAAGGAATTCAGATGTATCCAGCTCCAGGCAGGGACGTTCGTGAAGTCGGTCTCGAAGCCGAGCAGATAGCCAAGCACCTCGGGATGTGAGAGCTCTCTGCTCGTGTAGATTCGATTTGCGACTCGTAGGAGGAACGATCTGGTGGCTTCTCCCATCGCCGACGGCGCAGCCGAGCCGTCTGGCTCTCCTTGCTGCTGTAAGGCCAACTCCAGCAGCTCCTCTGCATGAGCGAGTCGCTTCCACATCGGAGCGTTGAGCTTCGAGGCGTAGTTGCAAATGTAGTGGACGAGCGCCAGCCCCTTTTTCCGCGTAAGGATTGGTGATATGTCAGTATTATGCCGAAGACCCACGGCCATGCTCTGGTTGTACTGATTGACCATCTGATGATCCCGTTTCACCTCGAGCAGGCCGTCTTCCATAAAGCTAGTCTCCGGCACGAGTTTCCACGGAGCCCGGAACCGACATAGCTGCGCTTTGCATTTCTCCGTACCCGACTTGAGAACTTCCTTGATCGAGTACTTCACACACGTAGCGGTATGGTGATGGACTTGGCAGCGAGACGCGACGAAGTTGGCTTCGCGCTCAAACCCCCCCGATAGCCACTCCGCGTCGTGAATCATCTCGGGCTCTACCACGGTGGTCTTCTTGCCACTCTCCGTTGCCTCCTTCGCCAGGGCCTCGTCCAGGGTCCCGGTGAATACGTCATCCAAGAAGCTCTTCACTTTGGACCGGTATACCCCTTCGTCGGGGTTGGCCATATCGCGGACGAGATTCGCCAGATCTAGGTTCCCGTCCAGCCACAGCAGGCCGTGCAGGTGAAGGGCCGCGCGGTCGTTGGTCTCTACCGTGGCGTAATAGTGACTGACGTTCCCGTATATAGAAGGCCGCCCAACGCGAACGTAGTGCTCAAAAAACAGGGAGATCTCGCGGAAGAAGAAAAGAGTCGAGCTCAGAGGATCGTGGACCGAGAGGGTCGTCACCTGCAGCGCCGTGGACAGTGCGCTGAGAAAGGCTCTGGCGGCCTCGCCATCCCGTCCCCTATGCGCCGCAAGCTTCAGCTTGACCGGGTTGTTGATGTCGTTTGGGTTGAGCGTAAACCAGATAGCCGTGAGGCCGAACGCCACGATCATGGACCAGATCTTCTTCCGCATCGACAGGCGGCTCTCGTTTGATAATCGATGTCGGCTACCGTATAGAGAGAGCTCCTTCATAACTGCAAGGACGTCCGTCCGTCGTCTTTCCCGTCTCAGACATCTCCTTTTGCGCCTCCCTCAACCGCTCGGGTGTCAGCCTTCGATGGATTCCCTCAACGCGTCGGAGAGCCGACCGCTTCAAGCGTCCCTGGCCGATTCGTCGATTCCGGGACCTTACAAGAATGTTGAAGATGAGGAACCCAAACATGGGGTGCTGGGCAAAATGCCCACCGTGTCTCTGCAGGACGACCTTGGCCCACGATTCTAGCGTCATATCTCGCAATAGGGGATTGACTGAGCCTCCCTCTTCGTTGCGGTCCGCCACCCGGGGTCCGCCACGCCCATACGGAAAGCAAGAAGGGAACGTCTTGGGGAAATAGTCGGGAGAGAACGCGTCGGCAAACTCACTACCGCGCGATATCCGGATGAACGGCCGTTCCGAGGAGCCATAGACCTGCATCGAGGGTGCCTCGCCAGGACCAGCCTCATAGCGGTCATCAGATTCGCGCTCAGCCTCTAACGCTAGACTAATGAATTCCAGCTTATCCTGCTCTGCGAAGGTGGCCTGGTCGTCGATCGGAAACATGGCCGAAGAGCGTAACTCAAACACCCGCTCTTCCGTTTCTTCGGCCACTGCGTCCTCCGAACTGGCGGTGGGTTCGATAGGCGTGGCCTCGGAAGGGACCGGACTGTGCTTGGATCTATCTGCTAATTCCGTCGCAATGTCCTCACCGGGTGCACCTGGGGTCCTCAGGTGTTTGAAAGAGGCGTTGGCATGGTGACTTTGTCGTAATTAATTCTGGACATGTTGACATAAGGTGAAGTGTATGATGGGGCTCCACGATGGACATCGACACTCTTTTAACCTTCCCAACAAACCTGAACTGGAAACTTAGTTCAACTTCAATCCAGGAGTCAACTCAAGCCAGCGCGCCAACGTTCATTTTCCTCTCCTCGTTCTTCATAGATCAAAACATAACACCAAGCAGGCCCCCACCATCATATCTGGTCCTCGTCAACGAATCCCGGCCCCCAACATGCCCCGATCGCGCGGCCTGGTGCAGTGGACGGACTGGTGCTCGACCTGTCGCCCGACACGTCATCAAATCGCCGAATAGATGCTCACCTGGCCAAGCGCCCGGCGATTCATTTGTATCTCGCGGGATTTGGAAGGTTGGTTGCTAGGAAACGATACAGGTTTGGGGACGCGCTGGTCGGCCATGATTCTTGATGATGTTCTTGATCTCAAGGAGATCCCAATGATTTCGCTTGGGCGAGCCCGCTCAACAACCGGGGTTGTTTCTTCTCACGGTAATGATGCTCCTGGCTATCCGGTAGGAAGTTGGAGTGGGAGGGACACTGAGGAAACTCAAAGCTAGGCGGGAGCTTGCACGGGGCCGGAGCCTCATCAATTTACCGCACACAATGCTTGCGCCCTTGATATTATGCGAAATTTATTCCGGGTTGTATGTACTTTTCCTTAGTATTGTTCTGCGATAACAATACCAGCCTCTCCTCTTTGGAAGGGACCGAAGTCTAGATAGTTTTTCTGGTTCCCAAGTTTTATTTTAGCCCACAACTGCCTTTTGAAAAAGGCTGTCCTCGGATTCCAAATCTTTACTTCGTCAACTTCTTTTCTCTCACCATTCTGGAACTATCTCAAGAGTTGCCTGGAGGAAGGGTCGCCTGTCCCGACAGATATGGTGATCAACATCTTGGACGGGGAAATCGAAGAGGGCGTCCGACAGAATAGGTAGACTCTCATCTGCGGGTTTCCAACCAATGTGGAGTCTCTTGTCGAGAGAAAGGTCAGCCTTGTCTTGTCTCCGTCTGAGCC